GGGAATATCTTCCATCAACTGGATCAAATCATTTTCTAGAAAATGTAAATATCGCAATCCATTGAGATTTTCATTGAAAAAGTAAGGTCCTATGATGCGGCCATTGAACAATCCACACCATACATTAATACCCCAAGTAGTTTGAAAATTACTTTCGCGGACCCAGTGGGGATTTTCTTGAGACCAATAGTGACTGTTATGTCGATTCACAACTCCATTATTGTGGAATCGCGATTCATCGCTCCACAAAATTTGACTGAATATGTTAGGACTTTCATGTAATATTACCTGAATACAAGCAATGAATTCAAGTCGTCGTTCAAAGTCCGTGTGTTTTATACCTTGTACCAACTGAATTTTGAATGGGTGGTATTTATTTTCTTTCAGAATTCTCTGCACATTAGATTTACTCACATCGACCCAGTAGAATGTGCTTCTAAACTTTAAGCAAATTGGCCTATCTTGAATTTACACTTTTCTCTTTCACAAGTTTTTCGTTTTTGCGAACTGCGCCATGTTCATTGTCATTCATTCACCAACTCAGTGAGACATCAGACAAGTGACAGTTTTACATTCCTAATCTAAAGGTATGTCTACATTACATACTATTCTTAATATACTGATTCTGACATATTTGGATTTTTTTAGATGGTTGAAGTTTTCGTTTTCAAAGTCAAAAGAAATTCACAATATTCGAAATTATGGAAGGTTACAAACCCAAATGACAGAAATACGTATTGATTTCTTCAGAAAAAATGTCTTTGAAAAAATATGGCCTTATTCGAATTGATAACCAGGAACGCTCAGGTCTATGGCTTTACCTTAATATTTTTAATAGCACTGTTTTTTGAAACTTGGGGGGGATCTGTTTAAATGGTTTCAATGGCAGGGAAATTCCGGCCAATGCTCTGATTAATACACTGCTTGCTCAATGGGGCGTCAACTCGAATGTAGCCTTTGTAGTAAAAAATTATTAGAGCATCACTTTCTCTTAAATTTCAGGTTGTTATAAGTTCAATAGTTGAAATACCTTTAATTTTTATTTTTAATATGTTCTATTCAATATCTAGTCAACAATTTCGAAATAATAGGTATATCTACTAAGTGTGATAAGTAAATAATGTGATACCTAAACTAATATAGATTCTAGATTTTAATCAGTTTTACTAAGTGGGCCATTGATACCAGAAGAAATTAGAAAGTAAAAGTGGTGTAGTAAACTAGTATTAGTTAGTAGTAAAAGTGCCAGCAATATGTCCACAAAATCCGAAAAAGTCCATTCCATGGTTTATGTTGTATTCATTTCTTTATTGCTAGATTTATTGGCATTCACTATGATATTGCCTTTACTTCCTTCTTTACTGGAACATTATAGAAAAAATGATAGCATAGGGCTCTATGAATGGCTTTCTAGTCGAATACACAAATTTCAAATTTTGGTTGGTGCACCAGAGAAGTATAATTCAGTATTGTTAGGAGGAATACTTGGGTCAATGTTTAGTTTTTTACAATTCATAGCAGCCCCAATCGTAGGAGGGATATCTGATGTAGTGGGAAGAAAAATTGTTATGATTACTTGTTTAGTGAGTATCTATTTAATTTTTGTAACATCATGAGAAAAAATCATTTAATTCATTTCAGATTGGAATATCATTATCCTATGTATGTTGGGCACTTTCCAGTAATTTGGTAATTTTTATTTTTGCGAGATTCCTGGGTGGAATCAGCAAAGGGAATGTATCATTGAGTATGGCTATAATTACGGACGTCTCTTCATTAAAAACAAGAGGAAAAGGAATGGTACTATTAGTAATTCACTAATTTACATTTCAAGAAAAAATCCTAAACTCAAATTGAACTGTTAATGGGCGATTGTCAAAATATTTGAAATGATCTTGATAAGAAATGAAATATGACATTGAGCAGTTTTTTGAGAGGTAAATTATTTTCTTCACTTTTTATAATAGAATGGTAAAAAACAGTGGTAAAAGATATTTTGCATTTTACTAGGAAGTAGTTTTTTTACAAGTACAGCTGCCATGAAACTAACACAATTAGTAATTTTAGTGATAGACTTTATTCACATTTTTAGCAGATTTTGACAAATTTATATATATTCTAATGTGAAAAGGTGAAGTGTTACGCCAAAGTGTTTTTCAACTGAATCTACCAATCCAACCTAATCTCATCCAATTATGGATGAAAATTATATAATGTGAGAACTTCGAAGTTATCATCTGTTTAAATCTGTTTAATGTTTTTTTTTTATATTTCAAATTTTTTTGCAGGCTTATTGCCATATTGAATGTATTCACTACGAAAAAGCTACTGTTATAGCGAAACGTGATATATTTTTTGAAAATAAAGTTTGTGGATATCAAATCGTAAGGTGTAGTTTATGAAATTGAATTCATTTCATTAATATTGTTACAAAAATGACACACTAGAAAACAAATTAATTCTGGCAACATTTTGAAAATTGATTTATAAAATGTTCTGCCCTTAAAACATTTCTGTATTTACTACATATATCTGAATCAAATTGAGTACTTGTAATATAAACATTTCTGTTTCTCATGAGAGGAACTTTCTACTATGGAATTGACAAAATTTTACATGTGCTTATTGCCCTATTCGATTTACTTCAAATTAACAATATGCACTTCCTAGGTGGCTTGTCCTGGATATATGTGAATATTTTATGATTTGTGATATTGATGACTTATTTATTTTGAGGAAATTAGACAAAGTATTTTATTTCTATGTCATTTAATATTTTATGAGCTGTAACATAATTTCCATGTAATTTGTGTCGAGACGTTTTCTTGAAATTAATTTTTAATGTACTTCATATTGCTTTCAGGCAATAGAAAATGTTTTGAAAGCCATGTATATTGAAAAACATTGGGCAAAGATACTCCCATAGACAATATAAGTAAATAATTTTCTCAAACACTAATACATGCAATTTATTTATTATACTTAAAACTTAAAATAGCAATATATATACATAAACATTTTATCTCGGTTCAAAATATAGAAACATGTGATAATGTGTTGGACATGTAAAAATCCCTTTATTTTGACACTCGCCCAAATATACTGCAAAAATTTAAACAAAAAGTACTCTTATGAATTGAAGTAGATTTTGGTTTCAGGCACTTGTTGGTATTGCATTTTCCTTAGGATTTATTGTTGGACCATTGATAGGAGCAATTTTTGCAGTGTGGGCAAGACAAAGAACTGGAGAGTGGTTTGTGGTACCTGCTTTATTCGCCCTGTTACTGTCACTAGCAGATTTGATATTCTTCATAGTTTTTTTCAAGGAAACATTACCCAAGGTATGACAAGGAGAATGACTTAATTACTTCATTTTCAACTTGTAGAACTTAAACAAATATAATTGCGGAGTTTCCAAATCAATATGGACAATTTGATTACTTTCAAATATTTGAAAAGCTGAAATTGCATCAAAATCAAATCGTTTTTTCAGTCACAAACATTTTTTGGGTGTTTTCCCTTCAAAATAAGACTATTTTGGTAAAATCTAATTATCCAGGTATTTGCATATACAGATTATGGTTGGTCCCAATTAGTCCAGCTATACTTCCAATTCTTATATTCATAGGTTTGTCTAAAGTAAATCTTGTTTGTATCACTGTTTCAGGAAAACCGTGCCGTTAGTCTCATCAGGACTCTTAAAAATGCAAAGGTACTAATAAATGTCAAGGACTTATTTCAGTTCTCAGCTGTGACTGGGATTGAGGAAACCAGACTGAAGGAATTAAGGAAATTGGGAATGGTTTATTTTGTGTACTTGTTCATTTACAGTGGACTAGAATTCACTCTAACATTTCTCACTCATCATGTTTTCAACTACACTTCAATGCAGCAAGGATGGATGTTCTTTATAATAGGTAAATATCGTTATTTAATCTCATTTTCAATGCCTTAATGGATTACTCAATGCATGTTGGATATCTTAATCTATAATTGTTGTAGGTTTTGTAGAAGAAATGTGTGTAACTCTACTTGAGTACCATTCCAACATATAGTAATACTATCCAATATCAATTTTAATTGCCTAATTTAAACTGCAGAGTAACCCTCATAAACATGGTTCCCTGGGCACATCAAAGTCATAGATTATTTGTTCCAGGAGACAATTTAAACCAACCGAAAGATTTAAATATATTGTCATATAATCAGTGTAAACATTTTTTCCCATTGGTTTATATGTTTTATGTATTTATGTGTATGTATAGTATATACAAAGTAAATTCGATCGGCATAAAAACTAAATAGTTACCGAACGTCGGCAGTTTCTTAGTGTAGCATGGGCGTCGTCGTATACTTTTTTCAAAATTAATTTTATTTTCCATAAACCTACACGGATTTTTTTCATTCCTAGTAAAGAGTCTTTTATTTAGCTGTTCGGATTGACTTCGTTCAGTATTTGATTTCATTAAATTATAATAATTTTCAAATAATATTTCACATTGTCTTGAAATAATATTCTACAGTACTTCTGTACCTAATCTTTCTTTGAAAGTTTATACTTCATTTTAGATTATTTACTGTTGATTTTCAGTTCATCTTTTTGGGGAGATTATAGTAATGTTATTTTATATCAGTTTGATGTACTACTTTGAAATTATTCCTCTATTTTTGTTGAATTTGATCTAGTAGTACATATACAGTGTACATATATGCACCAGAATTTTGAAATTCCTTCAAAACGATTGGAATCCAGAAATCTAATCAAGTAAAAATCTATAATCCTGGGCTCTGATCATGAGATTGCTCCACACGAGTTCAGTTTGTTGATGAAATTCCTACTTCAATATGAATGATTGATTCAAGGTATTGTAATTGACCTTCAACTCATTATCAAGATAACAGATTATCTCTGTGGAATCTATTTTAAGTTATCATTTTATTCTGCTCTTGAATGGAATATTACGTCATTTGCTGCCTATTTTAGATATACGATTTACATGGTGCAGATAACAAAACGTTGCCTTGTTTAGTTCATGTTAATGCAATTTTCGTAGAGATCACTAACTTTTTTGAAAATAAAATACAAAAATATGATAGAATTGACCAATATGTGATGAAAATCCATTGTAACATACCTTTTCAAAAAACACATCTCAATATGAGATTTCCACTTGAAACTTTACAAAAATACTACTATGTATTGCGAACAACGTGTTGCGATTTTGTAAAGTATCAAGTCGATGCCACGAAAACCCAGGCATCGGTTTTCTCCAAAGAGATAAATGTCTACGAACCGGATAATGTCAGAAAGGCAATTCCGATTTCTGCTTCGATGAGTTTGTTGGGGGTTAAAATGGAAACCAATACATCTTGGCACAATCATGTCACTGGCAAAGGCTGCTTCTCAAAAGCTTGGAACACTCTTCCGAACCAGATAACTGTAGACACCTCAGCAACTTCTGATGCTTTATGAAGCTCAGATCAGACCTTCTTTAAAGTATTGTTCACATGTATCCAGAAAAGAGCCATCCACCTGATTGGATACACAAACATCACTTGCGACCTTGATAGTCTGGAACATCGAAGAACGGTTGGAGGTTTGTCTCCATTTTATAGATTTGGCACATTTGATTCCACCAAGAGCGGTACATATCAGAAATACGCGACGGACTGTGGCTGCTCATCGTTTTGAGGTTCAACTCAGTACACCTCGAACTTACTGTTCCATTTGGAGGACTGGCTTATTGGAATAAACTTCCTGAGAATGTTTTTCCAAATGGATTTAATCTCCAGCGATTCAAATCCAAAGTGAATCGCTACTTTCGCACAGGCACCGCTCTTAGAACCCCTCAAGGGTTTTCCTGAAATGCTTGTGTTTTGTCTTGAAAAAAATTGAAATCTCACATTGAAGTGTGTTTTTTGAATACGAAATAAAATACAGCTCATTTTATACGCTGATAGTTTAGCTTTCTGTAGGTGAAAGAATTTTTGAAATTGATTATGTAGTTTTGGGTTTATTCATTACAAACGAACATGTTTGACATCAAATCTTTTCTATTCATGATATTTCTTTTAAACTTCTTTGATTGACGACTTGTTTATTTTGTGGAAATTCATGTTCACTGAGGATACACTACAAAAACACACTTTTGTCTATTTTCCACTATATTTCTTTATTGTTGACTGGTTTCGGCTATTATACCATTTTCAAAACTAACTGATTACATTTAAATCTGAGTAATTTATACCTAAGTTGCCTATGCTATCATAAATAATTTGGTACTTACATTTTGTATACCTATAATATCCATGAATATAACAAAACAAAGCTTTTGATATAATGTAGGTTGTGGGAACTGGATTATAGGTTCAGGAGAGGACTATTATTTAGATTCAGTTGTTCCTTGAGGATAATAGAATTGGGATTTTTGTTTGACCTGTTTATTTCCATAGATTCCAACAGATTCATCATTTTCCCTTTTTCGCATGTGTGTAGGATCTTTAAATTATCTTTATCTATTTTATGTTTCGAATTTTGAAGATGTTCGTACATTAAAGATTTTTATCTGAAATGACATGTTCATGATACCTTGTATCAAAATTTCTACCTGTTTGGCCTGTATATATGGCGGGGCATTCACCACATTGTAGTCGATATATACCAGATCTTTTCCCTTTGTCTAATTTAGGTTTGGCATTAAATAATCTGTTTCCTAAATTTCCGTTGGATGTGAAGGATGTTTGTAGATTGAATTTTGAGAGATAATTTTTAATATTCTCATTGGTACACTTGTATGGTTGGTATTACTGATTACCTACCTGTATGATGTACCTGATTAGTATAAGTAGCTTTAGTTTTGAGTAATTATTAGTTTTATCTTCCTCTTGAAGATGATCACTTGGTGATCGAAACACGTGTCGAGGTGTAAAAATAACGATTTGGTGTTGGGAAAAAACTCCAGTAATATTCATATCTAATGTTGTTAACTGGAGTGGTAGGTATTTTGTTATTAACTGCTATTTGTTTAATGATTGCGATTTCACTTCAGAGGTTTTGATCAGAAAGGGGTATTGTGAAAGCCCTATGTATCATTGACCCGATTTCACAGAAATTGTCTGCATTCAGGTCAACGATACATAGGGCTTTCACAATACCCCTTTCTGAACAAAACCTCCGAAGTGAAATCGCAATTATTAAACAAATAGCAGTTAATAACAAAATACCTACCACTCCAGTTAACAACATTATAATGAAATATCAACAAAAAACAATAATGAAAGAACTATATTCAATTTCCACGAGACCAGAACACAAATATGTTAGTAATTATGCCGGTAGAATCTCCGAGAATATTAAAAATTATCTCTCAAAATTCAATCTACAAACATCCTTCACATCCAACGGAAATTTAGGAAATAGATTATTTAATGCCAAACCTAAATTAGACAAAGGGAAGAGATCTGGTATATATCGACTAGAATGTGGTGAATGCCCCGCCATATATACAGGCCAAACTGGTAGAAATTTTGATACAAGGTACCATGAACATGTCATTTCGGATTAAAAATCATTAATGTACGAACATCTTCAAAATTCGAAACATAAAATAGATAAAGATAATTTAAAGATCCTTCACACATGCGAAAAAGGGAAAATGATGAATCTGTTGGAATCTCTGGAAAAAAACAGGTCAAAGAAAAATCCCAATTCTATTATCCTCAACGAACAACTTGATCTAAATAACAGTCCTCTGGAACCTATAATCCAGTTCCCAAAACCTACAGTATATCAAAAGCTTTGTTTTGTTATGTTCATGAATATTACAGGTATACAAAATGTAGGTACCAAATTATTTATGATAGGATAGGCAACTTAGGTATAAATTACTCGGATTTAAATGTAATCATTTAGTTTTGAAAATGGTGTAATAGCCGAAACTAGTCAACAATAAAGAAATATCGTGGAAAATAGACAAAAGTGTGTTTTTGTAGTGTATCCTCAATTTCTTTTGAATTTTCTGTTCATTGCCAAAGATAAATGTTTGCCTTTTGGTCTAAAATCAATGCTGCTCTTTGAAGGGTTATGTAACTCATTTTTCCTCTTTCTTTATATATGTAGACCTTGAAATGGCATTGCATCCTCTCATTGGTTTTCAGGTCTGATAATGGCTGTAATGCAAGGCGGATATGTTAGGAGAATCCCACAGGACAAAGTCAAAACTACAGCAATAACTGGGTTGTGGTTGATAGTTCCTTCGTTTGTTTTTGTTGGCTTGGCCACTGGACCGATTATGCTTTATCTGGGCCTTATTCTCTTTGCCATTTGTGAGTATACCAACATTAATGTCGAGGCTCAGCATATTAAATTAGATAAGTTCAAGAAAAATGTGGCTCTCACCAATTTACTGGGCGATATAAGTCCTGCTTCTTGACGAAGCCGATTAAGGATTTCTACCTATACGGATGATACCTTACCCGGCAAGAGTATTCAGACGTCTCCTCTGCAGAGTGAAGGGTCTCCTCTGCAGAGTGAAGGACGATAGAAATGAATCGGCTAAGATGTTTTGAAAGAGAATAATAAGATTGGTAATTTTATTGGTTACCACTCAAAAATTTATAATTAGAAAAAAAACAGAATTTTGTACACCCTATTTTTGAAATGTTTTTTGAGTCAAATTAGCTATATGTATAAATGTATAGATATATACGAAAAATTGAGCGAAATTGAACTATCTTTGTTATAAAGAATCCGAGACCGGTGAAATATAGGTTATTTACTATACTTTAGGTTGTCCTGAACCTACCTACGTTTGCCCATTTCCCGATGAAACACTCTGTATGTGTATAATTGTGAAAAAAATGTAAATGTATAAAAATAGAAACAGTATCAATCAATAATCAATTTAATTTTTACTTTTCCGCAGCAACTGCCATGGTTGTTCCTAGCATAATGACTATGGTATCGCATCACGGAACTGAGCAACAGAAAGGTACAGTTATGGGAATTTTTCGATCGTTAGGAGCTTTAGCCAGAGCTGTTGGACCCATTTTGGCCAGTGTTGCATTTTGGAGTGTGGGTTCCACAACAACGTTTCTGACAGGTGCAGTACTTCTACTATGGCCCGTTCTATCTCTGAGCGGAAAGGTTTGAAATATGTTTATTTTGATCAGTATTAATGTTGATGATAATCAATGTTTATCATAGAGAGAATCAAAAATCTTCCAGATTTTTCAAAATTATAAGTCTCACAATGTTGTCTTGATAAGTGGGTGTTTTTTGATTCTTGTCATGTTGCCATAGTGATTTACTTATGTAAAGTATTGACATTATCATTTATATTTACTGAAATGAAATGCAAAATATTTTCAAAATAGATATTTTTGAAACTCTTTACAGTTTATTGTATGATTTTCACTATAAAGGGGTTTACAAAAACCGCGACACGTGTTTCGCTATACAATAGCTTTCTCAACGCTTGAGAAAAGTTTTTGAAAAACCCTTTATGGTGAATATCATACAATGAACTGTATTAATGAATTTCAATATGGATTTTCATTAAGTATCGGCCAGTTTTATTCAATTATCCAGATATATTTGTTTCACATAATGTCATGGAGAGCTAACAATGGAGATCAACTTCCCAGAGAAAAGGAAAGTAGTCAATATTTTCAAAGTAATAAATTATTGTTCAGTAAAATATCAAAAGATATTTTTGAAAATTCCTTGATGCAAATAATTTTTGCAGTAAAAGTGACCAGAGTTAGAGTTGGGACAAAGCAAGATTGTACATGCATCATCAATTTGTTCATAAAAAATAATTAAGCAGAGTTAAGGAAATTAAACAATGTGACTTCTGCTCCGAACAACCTACATTTTTAATCAAGCATCACTTTAATTTTTCAAATTCACTAAATAAAAACTATTTCCGTGTTCGGGTGGATTTCATAATATTCTTCAGGACTTCATTTATTATTCTGTAAATACATATTTTATATTCCACATCTGGAAATGCCTAACATTAGACAGAACCATTCCCAGTTTGAGATCAACATTTTTCAAGTATGACGAAACGGTACTTACTGTGAAATATGAAATCAGTTTATTAGTAGTGAAAACGACTATTTGTTTAGTATAAAGTAAACTAAACAGTAGTTATTTAAGCCATCATCCGAACAAGAAGTTTCATTGAATAAATGCATTCGTTTCGACTTCACTTGTAGAAGAAAAGAATATTATATAAAAGAACGTGATTTATGACTTTTGTTATTGATGACACATGTTTATTTTTTCATTGCCCCAACTGTATTTCAATTAATCCTATCATAATGTTACTCTTTCATCCCAGTTTTTTTCAGAAATTATTTTTTTGTATGCTGAAAAGCAATAATTTCAGTTTTTTTTTCTGATAGATTCCGCCGTTACTTGATGCAGATCCACAGTAATTTCATAAACTAGACCCCACGATTTCATCTCCACAAACTTTATTTGAAAAATATATCACTTTTTTTTCACATATGAAACTGCCCCAGTCCGAAATATCTCCTGTTCTTTTTTTCGTGTTGTAATTTCGCTACAGGAGGAAAATAAGGAATTGGATCTCGCGGGGCAAATAACGCCAACAAATTTGGTGAAAACTGTGCCATTTTTCGAAGGATGCTTTACTTCACTGAAATGACTTCAATATGCGTGTGAACATAGTAAACCAACACACTTTCAATACCAGATTTGTAATATGCTGAGTTCTGAACCGAACGACACCAAACTATGTCTACATAATACTTTAACGACCGTTTCACCTAATTTAGGTATCTCTTAGATGATAAATCGAACATGACGACTGATAAACAAAATGGCTACCTGGATCGTTTCAAAGAATGTCGGAAATGTTCCGACAGGTAGTCATTTGTGACTATATCGCGCACCTTCCTTATACAATATTCCGTTAAAAACGGTCGCGAGTGCGATAGAAGTTGTCCAAGTGATGCATGAAACGGGTGTAGTTGTGAAAACCTACATTATTCGAGACCAGTAGCTGAAATTCTCAAGGTAGACGAGGAAATAGACAATAAATCCAAGTTACTCAAACCGTCTGGACTAAGACAACTTTTTTTTATATCTGCGACGGAGAAACCTAGACCTGAAATTAAACCTGACCAGTCTACCGAGACTGCGACTTGCTTCATATGCCATCGTTTGTTTGAAAAAACGATTTAAAATCAGCTACTAATTTGACTGCATCAGAACAACCACAACTTGGTAGATTGAATCAAAATCCGATTAAAGAACCTATCCCTTCAACTTCAAGAGGTACTGTCCTCGATTCTCGATCGTTTCAAAGAATGTTGGAAAATTTCCAGAACTCAGCATATTATAAATCTGGAATTGAAAGTAGTATTGAAGTCATTCCAGTGAAGTAAAGCATCCTTTGAAAAATGACACAGTTTTTACCACCAAATTTGTTGGCGTTATTTGCCCCACGAGATCCAATTCCTTATTTACCTTCTGTAGCGAAATTACCACACGAAAAAAAGAACAGGGGATATTTAGGACTGGGGCAGTTTCTTAGTGACTTTGAGGATCCAAAAGATACACCTCCACCAGACCAGGCCAGAGTCGAAACTAGAGAAGAAAGACTGGAGAGGAGGCGTCGACAAAAAGCTGAACAAGTAGCTTAAAAGTTAGAACAAGAAATCGCTATATGGGACCCTGCCTCGGCTGCAAATATTACAGCCGACCCATTCAAAACTTTGTTCATTGCCAGAACTAATTATGACTCCTCAGAGTCAAAGCTACGAAGAGAATTTGAAGTTTATGGGCCTATTAAAAAGATCGCGCTTATTAACAGCAGTGTCAACGGTAAAGCGAGAGGCTATGCCTTTATAGAATATGAACGCGAAAGAGACATGCATTCTGCTTACAAACACGCTGATTGCAAGAAAATAGATGGCAGGCGTGTTCTAGTAGATATGGAACGGGCAAGAACAGGGAAAGGACGGCTTCCACGTAGATTAGGTGGAGGACTTAGTGGAACAAGGAGAGGCAGTCCCCGGATGTGAATATAAAACATTCGGGTCGTGAGGATAATGAAAGGGAGAGGGAACGATATAAGTTAGAACGTGAAAGGGAGAAGAGTAACTTGGCGTTGGGAGGTGTTAGTGGTGGAGGCGGTAGAGATCGGGATCGAGAACGTGACAGGCCTAGGGAGAGGGACGCTTTTGAGCTTCGTCGATCTAGATCAAGAGAAGAGGTAATAGGCGTCGTAGTAAAGAGAAGATTCGCGATGAGATTACGATTGAAGATGGCTTCGAGGGTCGTTCGGGAGACGGGAAGGGAGAGAGGGGTCGCGACAAAGGCAGAGGGCGGCGCCGTTCAGAGTCTAGAGGTAAAGATCGTGAGACAAGAAAACGTGAAAGAAGGGAGCGTAGAGATAGTGAAAAGGGCGACCGAGCAGGGTGAGAGACTTGAGTATATCAAAACTGATGATGGTACTGAGATGGTTAGAGTAAAGGAAGAATCGGTCGATGATTACAACTATACAATCTTCCTGATTCCAGCATTTGATCCAACAACAAAGTATGAAGATGTATATCAGCCAGATAGTGCGAATGGTATCAGGCGATTTGAGAAGGATTTTGGATAAGGTGAAGGTTACTGAATATACATATAAATATATGTGTGTGTGTATTTATTCATATTCTATATAGATATAAGCGTGCTTTAATATGGAAACATTTTAACTAACTCTCATAGTTGCAGGTATGTTCATGTACTTGAATTTTTTTTAATTATTTTTAGTTGTCCTGGATTTTAATCAAATGGTTGTTAGGACAAATTGAGGTAAAAATGAAATTTACCGATCATATGTGAAAAAAGAAGTGATATATTTTTCAAATGAAGTTTGTGGAGATTCAATCATGAGGTGTAGTTTATGAGAAAATAATTTCAGCTACAAACAATACCTCACCTTGAATTCAAGCAATTGAAAGTTATCTGACATTAAAATAAAGATTTTGAAATTTCGACCAGAATGAGTAAATATCTTGGTTTGCTTTTGTAGCAATGGTTGTTCCTCTTGGTATAATATGATAGTCATAATACCTATAGAGGTAGAATTTTGTACCATCACATTTTTTTCATTTCATATTTGCAGTACAGGGTGGCCAAACTGAACAGAACTGTTAAAACATTTCAGAAAAACAGAAAATAATTGAATAGGATAGTATTTTCCAATAAATCAAGCCAAAATTAAATTTCCATAATATAATTTCACATGTAAATTATCAGAAAGCGTGAGTGTATTATTAAATTTGTGCTCAGAACTACCATTATATACAAGAATTTCGTAAACATGAATGTTGAAATGTATGATAGAAAATTTCATGAAGATATTTTTGTGATCGGAGAAGCATAAGCCTTCCAGTACTTTGCCTTTTTTTATTCGTTATAGTTGCTTTTATTGTTTATGTTATATATGTTATATATATTTAAAAAGTATTTTTTGAAATTTTGATAATATTTCAATATAGATGGTAGTCATTTGTGACTATATCGCGCACCTTCCTTATACAATATTCCGTTAAAAACGGTCGCGAGTGCGATAGAAGTTGCCCAAGTGATGCGTAAAACGGGTGTAGTTGTGAAAACCTACATTATTCGAGACCAGTAGCTGAAATTCTCAAGGTAGACGAGGAAATAGACAATAAATCCAAGTTACTCATCAGAGTTTTCAGTTAGCAAACAATTTTTTTTAAATTTGTTCTTCCAAATAAATCAAACCCTGGCTACGGGGTTATGCTTTCAGATAACGTGTGTTCAGTATCAATTATGTGGACTGTATTTACTGTGAGATAATTGTCAATGTTGTCCTTTTGCTTTTAAATATATAGAGCAACTATTTAAATTGAACCTAATTGTGCTTACTTTCAGAATTTCAACGACTTTACTTTTCAGAAATGTGTCTAATTCTTCGTTCAGAATTTTCAAGCAAGTATTTTCATTTGACATAATACATCTTCAACTTATAATTAACTTTTATCGTTCAAAGTCAGTCTTTCTGTCTCTTTGGCCTCCAGATCATCCAACTTAGTTGTAAAAATTTCAATTTCAGCTGACATAGAATTTATTTCTGAATTACGTAAAAATTTCAATTTCAGCTGACATAGAATTTATTTCTGAATTACTTTTTGTTAAGCATTATTATCATGTATTAAATCGTTATTGATAGTGGTTAGTTTCAAATTATCGGTGTCCATCATCTCATACTTGTTCTTCAGTGAATCATGTTTCTCTGGCAACTCTTATATCTCTGCATATGTCGCTTTCAAAGTTTTGTGATTCTATAGCCAATGAGTATATTTTTCATTCAAAACTTGTAAACGTCTTTCAGTCTCAACCAGGAATTCACATCCTTGGATTTGATTTCTTCAACGGGTTTTAGGGCCTGCTTGACAGTAACTCTCGAAGTTGAAGGGATAGGTTCTTTAATCGGATTTTGATTCAATCTACCAAGTTGTGGTTGTTCTGATGCAGTCAAATCAGTAGCTGATTTTAGATCGTGTTTTCAAACAAACGATGGCATATGAAGCAAGTCGCAGTCTCGGTAGACTGATCAGGTTTAATTTCAGGTCTAGGTTTCTCCATCGCAGATTTAAAAAAAGGTTGTCTAAGTCCAGACGGTTTGAGTAACTTGGATTTATTGTCTATTTCCTCGTCTACCTTGAGAATTTCAGCTACTGGTCTCGAATAATGTAGGTTTTCACAACTACACCCATTTTACGCATCACTTGGGCAACTTCTATCGCACTCGCGACCGTTTTTAACGGAATATTGTATACGGAAGGTGCGCGATGTAGTCACAAATGAAGGCAAGCACAGTAATATAGCAGTCTGAATAAAATCAAATTCTAACCATAGGTTAAGACGGAACAACATGATAATGGTTGACCAATTTTCACAAAATGTGTTTATTCTAGGCGCGATTCGCTAACACTGTAGCTTCAACAGTAGTATTACTACTGAAGAAAGTATAGTGTTGGCATAACGCGTATAGATTACAAACAATTGTGAAGATTTTTCAATTATTATCATGGATGGTGTTATTAAATTTCATTGAATAACGGGTCAGTCTCTACGATTCTATAAAGTTCTTGTTAGCGAAGAAGCATGTATTTTTTTTTATGAATAGATCTGTCTTTTGTATTGATATGTGTTCATTCACTGATTATGATCAAATAAATTATTTTCTAATATCGAATTCCTCAAGTGGTCATATAGAAATTGTTATGACATTGTTTCATTAAATATACATCATATCATTTTGTGACAGAATATTCATTTGAAAAAGTAATTTTCAAAATTTTTACAGTATTCTTTATCAAGTTCATATTTTTGTTGAAGTCTGGGAAGTGTTATCTCGGATGTTCACCAGATTGTCTTTAACATAATCAAGAGACGTTTCTCCAAGATCACACTTGTTATATTCATGTGTTCTGCTTGGGAGCTGAACTTGAAACTGAAGTCGTCCTCCGATCCCATCATCTTGAGTTAATCCAGGATGTAGCCTAGCTCCTTTTTAGCCTTATTATATGCTGCCATAGGCTGTAGTTGTGGCGCGAAATGTCCTGATTGGTTGGTGACATGCATGTTTGGTGGTAAGCGTTCTTTCTGGTTGGTTTGAAGGGTAAGTGGGTAGTGTGATGTGTCTTGCTTGACTGGAGGCACATTGATCATTGTTTTTCGGTGATGAGTTTGCAAACACACCACCCAAACAATGATCAATGTGCCTCCAGTCCAGCGAGACACACAACACCACACCATAGAACCATACGACACCGATTAATAAGGACATTTCGCGTCAGAATTGTCGCCTGAGGCAACATATATATAGACAAGCATTGACAATAACGACTTCAGTTTCAAGTTCAGCTACCAAGCAGAGCACATTAATATGGAAGGTAAGATCTTGCCGAAACGTCGTGATTATGTCAAAGACGACTGGAACCCGGGATAACACTTCAGCATGTGGTACCATTCGTGAAGGACTACTCCAAAACAATCTATCTATTGTTCCGTATTTACCTCTAATTTTAATTCATTATTATTTTTTATTCTTCCCACCCTGTTGTTTTCTGATAGTATTCTCTTTTGGTTTCATTGTTAATACTCAGACTGCGATATTACTGTACTTGCTTCTATTTGTTACTGTATCGGCACCTCCTGTATACCAAATTCTGTCATCAATGGTCGGGAATGTTAGAGGAGATAAAGGAGTCGCTCAAATGCTTGACAAGCTGTCCAAGTGAGGCATGAGATGGGTGTTGCTGTGAAAACCTACATTAATTTAAACGAGTTGGTAATATTTTTAAAGTCAGTATTCTGTTCAATTTAAAATATATGCTCTCTCTATTCACCAAACTCACGCAAAAGGACAATATTCAAAGCCGTATCACAGGAAATACAGTCCACATACATTGATGGTTCTAACAGTTTTCATGGTCTATAGTGTTTAAAAATGTATTACCAAATCTGTGATTTCAATGTGTCCTGGTGAATGTACTATTTTTTTGAAAATCGGTCATAGTATCGACTACATTATTCTTCAATTTCTTACTCTAAATCAAATAAAAATAAAGAAATCTATTACATGATATTTTCTTGTAACAAGTGAATTGAAGTGATGCTATGATCTAATTTCAACAAATTCAGTATAAATATATGTAATTATTGATTATATTTATTATTCCATACTTGTATAACAATTTTTGACCATTTTATTCAAAATATATGCTTTTTTACATATCGACTATTTTCATTATCAACTCTCGAGTTATCCTTTATAAAAATTACATGCTCTTGCATGGAGAAATGCACAATTTGTTTAGATGATGAGTTTTTAAATTTCCCCAGAAAAATCAAAATCTAATGTTGAACATTCACGCCTTTTTAATATGGTCTCATAGATTCAAGAGTCTCCATACATTCCTAAACCACATCAACTCCGACCTTAAATTCATAGTGGAACTCGAAAATAACAACTCACTTCCATTCCTAGACGTTCACAAATTTTAATAATTTCTTCTACACACTGTTTAACGAAAACCAATCCATATACCCACCACTACCTCAATGCTTTGTCCCATCATCTAGTGCCGAGTTGAACTGTTTTGTATCCTATACACACAGATGTATCAAACTCGCTAACAACAAGAATAGATCCCAGTAAACTCAAATCGGCCTTCTGCCAAAAACTACTATCATGACTCTCAAATCCAACTTCAGCAAACCCATATCTCACATCCCAAAATGTGAGACAACCAAACTGTATGTATAAAAGCATTTTTCCTTTTATTCATGGAGTTATTAACAAAGTAAGCCGAATTCTGAAAATGCATGACATAAGAATAGAATTCACAATCAATAATCAATTTTTTAACAAAGACATCTAAGGATAGGATACCCGAGACACGAGCCATATAAAAAATACCATGTTTCACTCAGGCCGGCCCAGAGGGGGGCAAATTCCCAGAGGCCAGGCTCAGGTACAAAATAATATTGAAATTGTGGTTTTCAACGACAGAAGTCTACTTGTATTTATGTAAATAGATTTAAAGTAAGAAAAAACGCTCAAGAGAATGTCAAAGCAAACACACATATTTTGGTTTGACATAGGGGGGGTATTGTTGAGACCGAAAGGAGCCCTCACAAGATATTTGCCTAAGGGCCCGGAATTCGGTTGGGCGATCCTGGTTCCACTTACTACAGAACTCAATTACATCTCTCACACTACTGGTCCAGTCGTACAGGGACATGAATAAGAGTCCAAAACCTTGCTTGAAAGTAGGAAGGTTGAGACCAGTGATGAAAGCTCGGAAGTAGTCAGGTTGAGACCCCGGTGTCAAGTCACAAAACCCTTAAAGCGTGGAGTAGGTAGATAAAAACCTCTTTATAGCCATGCATTCCGGTTCTCGATAATGGTTTCGAAGCTGAAATGTTGAACAACTGAAAACCTAATTTAACGGTCTCGGCTGAAACATCCACACTAAGTTGTATAAGTATTTTACAGGTCTACAGGTCTGCAGGTCAGCAAATTGTTCTCAGTAGACATTGCTTTCGTAATCTTGTAGGAGGACAGACATTTTCTGCAGGTCGGGTCTGTCAGACATAAATCTTGCCTAGGTTTATCATTTTCGACAAAAAAAAATTCAACCCCCTTCCTTTGGGGGGTTGGAAGTTTTTTTGTCGAAAATGAATAATCCAGTCGAAATCCATAACTGGCAGACCCGACCTGCAAAAATTTCCGCCGCCCTGCATGGTTTATTTTCAATTCAATGGAGGAATGTGGAATTTTTCCATACTCAAAGGGTGGGGGTTGAAATTTTTTTTGTCGAAAATGATTGACCTAGTCGAGATTCATATTTGGCATACCTGACCTGCAATAATTTCCTCCGACCTGCAAAATTTATTTCCAATTTTTTGAGAAATGTGAAATTTTTGGGTGGGGGTTGGAAAATATTTCTGTCGAAAATGATTAACCTGGTCAAGATTCATGTCTGGCAAACCCGACCTGCAAAAATTTCTTTCCTGCTACAAGATTACGAGAGCAATGTCTACTGAGAACAATTTGCAGACCTGCAAAATAGATACACCTTATACTAAGGAGTATTGCCAAAATGCGTCACCCTCTATCAGAAAACGAAACTAGCATTGAGACCCTGAAGGCATTATGTAGGGAAAGACCCGAAGGACAACCAATCAAATTCAAATACCTGAAAAAACTATTTGGGAAAACATGAAACCACTCCAATGATTTTTTCTTATCAATCTGATCTTACGTTTTTCAATACAAAAATACTTTTCTCATCAAACTTTTTGAATAAGGTAGGGTTATGTAGGTTAAGGACTGTTGTTTAACTGCAAGGTAATCGAGAAAATCTACAGTAGCACCCAGCCAAATATGAAAACTGAACCTTATAAGTTTTGGCATTTGAACAACCCATATAATACATTTGCTCAGACTGTGGCATGCAGGACACTCTTTGAAGACCAGAGTTATGCAAAGTTTGAAATCTTCAGGATCGACACCCTCTCCATTGGTTAATTTATATGAATATAGTAATACAATTGCTTTTTTGTAGACATAGAAACTAAAAAAGTCCAAAGGTATGTTCCTTGTGACCTACAAGCTGGCTGTAGTTTACCTCGATGAACTCCAAAGCAATCCTAATGAATGTCTGCAACTACTACAACTCTTATGAAATTGCTAAAGAAAGGACTTTGGGGTTTCAGTATATCAATAAATTCAAAGAGATAATTTTACTCAATTTACAAAAAAAGTTGAAGATTAGACTCTTAGAGTTTGGCAAAGACCTCCACTTTGCTTTTGAGAAATCGCTATTATCCCTTTAAATTGACACAATTGAATGAGTCTGGAACTAGCAATATCCTGCTTAATTATTCATTATTCCATATTACTAGTTACTAAACATTTATGTTCATTTACAAAATGAAATTATATTTTTCGTATTACCCATGAAAAGGAAAATAAAAAGCAATTCAAAGCATAATTACTTCCATATGATCAGATGGCACTCTGTGAAGGTGAACTTCTCTGTTTTCTCTACCTTAAGAATAAACCATCTGCAAATATTATTGAAGATCTGTCACTGTGAATTGTAGTCATATATTTTCAATAAAGATAGAACAGGTCCCCCAACAATCAATTGAATACTATAAGAAACTATCTTTTCCAGATTTGTGAAATAGGAAACTTGGCAACACATATTTTATTAAGAAATCTTCGACCACCAGGAAGTACTGTAAGAAAAATCCCGAGACCAGATGGATTTCCACTGAATAAAATGTTCGATTTAGTGTCTTGCCCTAATTATACTTATGAAGTTGGATCTTGGATTGGATTTACTCTATTAACTTCTTGTATACCAGGTAAGGGATTTTGTATATTACCATTGAACCTCATATTAATAAACCTTTTTGTCTATCAGTTCATTTCTAATAATAATTGCACTTTTCAGCTGGTCTCTTCACTATTGCTGGGTTCTATCAAATGGCTGTGTGGGCTCTTGGAAAACACAGAAATTATAAAAAAGAATTTCCTGATTACCCAAAAGGAAGAAAAGCCATTGTCCCCTTCATTCTTTAAGTTAGTTTCCTGTTTTATTTTGGTGTATGATTTTGTTACTGTTTGATAATTATTTGCTTTAATAAATGTTCTGAAAAGTTTTATTGTTGAGATTACACTATATACCACTGAATTGATAGAAAGGAAGGTATATCATATCTAACCTTGAAGAAACAAACTATGTTTGCAGAAAAAAAGATATTATCCCTGGCAATACTCTGCAAAAAGCCCCCTCATTTGTAGAAACTATCCGTGATTCACAAAAGGATGGTTCACGATAGAATTGGAATCTTTGAAATGAAATAACTCTACCAGAAACACTTTTCCCACACCAGAACAAAACGTCTCTTGACTCACGTTTTGCTAGCTTGGTAAGCAATATTAAGAAATGACTGAAATTGAATTCATTATGGCTATGTTGATGTTTTTTACATATCGGGGTCAACCATCCCTTATCTAATAGGTTCATTAAATAATCCCTAGTGTGAATTATTGCATGTGGATTGTTCAAAAAAAGAGGCGAATGTTCAAATTTCGCGGGCTACGTACATTCGATTACCGATTTTTTTTATGTTGGTACACTCGTCTTGAACATATGTTTATAGCCCCAGCACATCAACAACCGATACATAAATGTTGAGAAAGTGGAGAAATTTTTTATTGACCTTTTTTGGGTACTTCCACCTGTCGCAATCTTGATAATATCAAAATTGTAATAGATTTTACTTACTTACATTCATAAAACTAATAAATTATACAATATTTATCTTAACGTTTGTTATGGAGAATTACTATTAGAGAAGTTGCTGAGGATGTCGGCATAATTGGCTCATGCCATGCATTTTTTTTTTCGGAAATTTTGGACATGAAGCATGTGGTAACGAAGTTCCATCCAAAGTTACCGAATTTTGACCAAAAAAACCGTCGCATGAGTATCGCTCAGGAATTGTTGAATGATTTCAACTGCGATCCAGATTTGCTTAAAGGGGTCATAACTGATGACATATCATGGGTATATATGGTTATGACATCGAAACCAAGTTCCAATCATCCCATTGTAAGACCAAGACCAAAAAAGCACGCCAATTTCGATAAAATATCAAGGTTTTGCTCACTGTTTTCTTCGATAACCGTGGCGTAGTGCCTCAGGAGTTCTTGCCACATGGTCATACGATCAATAAGGAGTATTTTCTTGAAATTATGCACCGTTTGCGAGAAGCAATACGAAGAAAACGTCCGGTATTGTTAAGAAACAATTCATGGCTTTCGCATAACGATAATGCGCCTGCTCACTCGTCGTTGCTTGTTTGTGATTTTTTTGCCAAAACAACACCGTAATCATTCATCAGCCACGGTTTTCACCAGATTTAGCCCCCAACGACTTTTTCTTGTTTTCAAGATTGAAGAGACTCATGTAAGGACAGCGTTTTGCGACGATTGAGAAGCTCAAGCACATAGGTACCAGTATATCAGAACTGCTTCGAGGATTAGAAAAAACTGGCACAAGTGTAATATATCTGAGAGGGACGAAAAATTCGCCGTACTTTTTCAACAGGCAGCGTATATTGTTATTGTATACCTACCTGTTATAATACCTAATCTTTACCAGTTTTCTACCAGTGAGAATGTTTGTAGCTGCAAGGTTAAATTTCAATCTATGTATAGGATGAGTCTAACCACCTTCGTAGAACTACTTAAACAGATTTGTCCTACGTTCACTTCGTTTCAAAATAATGAAAATAATTACAATACATACAAAAATAAATGCAACTGATCGCGGTGTGACCGGCATATCCAGTCGCATACAACCAGTCGTATGGTTGCGTCAGTCGGACAACGCAAGTGTGAACGCCCAAAATGCTCCATAATCCATTCCACTTGAATTTTCGACAGTAACGCTCGCAAGTAAGTGGAACGGGAAAAAAGTGCGGCCCTGAGCGTGATCGTTGTGAGCGCTCAGTGAAACGCACGTTGTACGTCACGGAATACTGTGGCACAGGAAAAGTCTGTGACAGAAGAGTAAAAAGTGAGAAGAAGAATTTATTTTTTTGAGATTGATTCCTGTTTGTGTTTTGACATAATTGAAATCGGAGGAGTATAAAAACAATACCACCCTCATATTTGTTATCAGCAAAAACAGCTCGAACTGGACGATGTCTTAACCAGAAGCAGTAGTCTAGTGATTTTTGAATTATGTTTTTTTGTGAATAATCAACAACCCCAACATATACAATGAATAACAAATTATGAAAAAAAAATTACATTGGAGTCACTATGATATTGAGATTTGATTTCTTTTAGGAAACGTGAGTATATTATTTGTTTGGAAATATCCATCACATTCATATTGATGAAATGTCATTTCAATCCTGTTTCACACACTTACTAATGTAAATTTTTTTCACGTGAAAAATTCTTGCAAAGACGAAAAAGTTGAATAAGTAATTTTCATATTGTACATATTCAGGTATGTCTAAATTCAGTATTCTGTAGTCCTACTTTTGATGTCTACATTAATAAAATGATGTTTTAAATACTGCATTGGAGTCAGTTTGTTTTGTTTCGAACCTTTTAGGGTACTTTGCTTTAAAAAAATATTTTTGATTGAATCTGATTATCCAAATATTATTTCATCCAGACTAAAGTTGTTTTGATTGGCCTCCGGGTTTTGCCGTGGTCTTTGGTTACAATCCCCAAACGTTTCAACTGCAACTGTGGCAGTCACCTTCAGTGACGTGGTTGAAGTACTCTTCTTGACGTGTCACCCTATATACAGTGAACCACAGCTTGAAGCATGTTCATAAATTTAGGTATGTGGAAATTGGTGTATATGATACTGTAGATATTTCAGAAAAATCCTTCTACTAAAAATATCACTGATACCTACATGTCATTTGAATATGTAAATTAATAGATTAACTGTTGTCACGCAGTCCAGATATGTTTGAGGTGTCATTTAAATGGGTTGCTGTTAATTTATTTTGAAATAAATATTTGAAGGCCATTTGAAATCAGGCTTATATTTTGAATGAATGTGTTTATTAAGTTGAACAGGAGTAACGAATTTGAACGTAATCAATCTTAACATTTCCCTATAATAATCATGGTGAGTATGACAGTTGAATAATTTAAATGAATTCAAAATTGTATCAGTATTTTAGCTTGCCTATAAAAATAAATAAACAAAAAAATGACGCAGCTGGGAATTAATCATGATTAGAGAATACCATGATGTTTGATTTGACAATAAGGAGTGAAAAATTGAAATCAAATCAAAATGAATATCTCATTAGGGTATTTCATTTCAGGAGAATAATTACTACTCTTGAATGTAATTTTGTTTTTCATGGAAATGTGTAGATTGAAATTTTTNTTCCGACGTCAGCCTTTCGACCTGAGAAAAGCGAAGGTCAGACGCTTTGATAAGCTAAGGTCTTCAATGAAAAGTTTTTCTGTTCTGATTGTCCTGATAGATGACTGTATTTTATATTATAACAGTTTTTTGCAAGGAATGATGGGGAGTATCTAAAATCAGCTGTTTTATGTGGAATAATTTTCAATAGGTTGCCATGGCAGGTGTCTATACCATGAATATACAAATTTGTGTCAAATATTTCAAGATACATATAAACCAGACGGTGTAGTCAAAAGTTCTGCTCTCAGAAAAATGGTTGACTTAATCAAAGCTGATGTGAGAATGAAAATGAATTATGTCAGAAAATTCACATTTCCAACTGATTTTCTATTCTCTACTGATTTAAAGTAGTTTGAAATGTATTGTTTCACTATCGTTCCTATACTTTTCGAAACTTGTGCGAGCTGAAATTAAAGAGGTCTAATATTTTAACGGGTGATTTCTCTATTTTTCATGCCAATTATAGCTCCGTCCGACGATCTTCTTTTTTGACAGAAAGACCAAGTTTTCACAGAAAACAATGCCGTTTCCTCGACTTGAGTAATACCAATTTTTAAATCAAATCAAAATGTGTAATATGATTTGAACATCTTATTGGCAAAGTCTTCTCAAGTAAAATGTGTATGTGGAACATTGAATTTACAATGGTGTTTTTTGTTTGAGGCGATGCCGTCGCCTTTGCCTACTAAGATTTGTTTTTTAAGGACAGTTGAGTCCAGCAACGAATTTGTGGTTCAGCTCAGCACCACTGATGAGACTTATGACGGCCGAAACAGCGCTACCAGGTGCTGGATCATGAATGGCGTTATGTTTGAGCTCTGGTTTTCAACTAACAATCACAAATAAATGAAATGAAATACGTGGTATCAATATACGCATAAATCTATATATCAGAATCTGTTGTCACGGTATTTGTGGCCCTACCGATTTTCATGTAGGTATGAGAATTCGTCGTGGGGTAAATTTCATACTGTTAGGTGATTAGGGTGTCCCTATCCAGGAAAAAAAAGAAAAATCTTTTTTGTTTTTTTATTTGGCATCTAATTTGATACCCTATACCCTATAGAAATAATCTATATGGCAACATAACGATTGTCTAAGGATTAAGTGGGGAATGGGAAACAATCGCCACAAAATAAATTACCTGGAAATGAATTTCTGGCAAAAACATAACAATCTGCACTGATAGTAGACAAGCCCTATTAGCCTTGAACAGACAACGTTTTACCTCAGGACTAGTACTAGAGTGCCACCAAGATTCAGCCAAAGCCTCGGTAGATAATAACAATATCCTGTGGTGGGAAAGGTACGACAGGAGTAAAGGTAATCGCATTGCCGACTCTTTTGCCAAGAAAGCAGCTGGACTAAGAATTTTAGGAACCAGTGACACCTACGAACGGATGGCTTCGACAATTGCGGAACTAGCCAAATGTTACACCCATGCTCAATCCTTAGAGAGATGGGATGGAATCAAAGGATGCAGTCTTGCCAGAAACACCCTGGGCAACCCTGGGAAGCTGGCGCCGAAGAAATATCTAGCGATGACCAGGAAAAACCTATGCTTAACAATATCAGCTAAGGAAACACCCACATAATATGGAGCTATGTAAGATGTGTGAACAGGAAGATGAAACTGTCAGGCATGTTCTATGCGAGTGCCCGGAGTTATCGTCAATAAGAGAGTGTGTGTTCGGCGAGTCTTGGCCTACACCTGCCGATATAAAGGGGATGTTTCCTAGTGACCTGTCCACCTTACTGGAAAGGTCAGGATGGGTCACATATGGCCTAAGTGCTGTGGGCCTACACTCAGCCTCCCTACTCTACAGATTCAGAACGTCAGCTATAGTTCATATACAAAGCTACATAATGAATAATGATTGCTCTTACGTTTGGCTTTTAATAACGCCACCAGCACAGACACTACTGCATATTAATTATCTTGGTAGAATTCATTCACAACGAACGAGTAGGTAAATAATAGTCCCTCACAACAAGGAATTTTCTCCCTTTTTTCTGAATCTCTTTTCATTTTGTTTTTGCCCCAAATTAATGCTAATGTAGGCGTGAGAAGGCAAATAAGGTGTGATAGATGTTGATGTGGTTATTAACTTGATTTTTTTTGTGGATAAGACACATCGTTTCCAAAATAAAGTCATACCGAGGTCAGAGTCCCTTGTTGCACAAGTAAATAACGGCATGAATCCCAATCACTAGCATTTTTTTAATTTCCGATGGCCTTTTTCATTAGGGGAATACGGCATTGTAAAGAAACTGCCGAACAGTTTCCCCAAAAGCGAGTTCCGTAATGGAGGTAGTGCTCAATTTGAGCAAGGTACACACAGATATTGTAATTTTGTTGGTAGATGAGGTACTACTTTTCAATAACCGGTGGAATACATGATTTTTCTACAAATAATTATCCTGAGTCTATCAGTACTCATAAAATATATGTACCTATGAATATTCTGAATTTGGGCATGTGCATCATAACGGATATACTTAAAATGTAATGTGTCAGTAACTGATTAAGTTACTGACTGAGCAATTATTTGAATTGATGTTTATAGCCGGTTGTTTATTATTATAGTTTTGTTTTGGTACATGTGCTTGTATGGAAGTCGCCACGCAGTGTTAATTATAGTGATATCAATTATTCCAAGATTCAGTTGTGGAATATTTCTCAATCGAATTAATTTGTTTGTTACTAGTGAAAAGAAATCGGAAAACGACGTAACATGAGAGCGCTCGCTCTACAAAATTCTCTGCCAAGGTAAATTTATATTTATTGTTTTAATTAACGATAACGACGTTGTTAAAAATTGAATCTGACGGGTAACGATTCCTCAGTCAACTAGAATGCAAAGACGGAAATGAGACATTGCTTGATACACCGCGTTATTAAAATCCCTCAAAGAGATCCCGGTTAGGGAAGAAATAAAGGGTAAATTGTTGTTTGTTTAGGGTCTTCGTAGTTTGTTTCGAGCATGTAGTAACGTCCGTTCGTTCGTTTCATCAGGCATTGGGTGAGCTTATTCGAACTAGGGCTACTATAGGGTAGTATACAACTTAGTGGAAAGTGTTTCGGTCATAGTCGAAAAATTGTTTGTGGCAGCTGTTAATGCTGTTGAAGTTTACTTCAAGTAAAAGTGGGGAATTTTTCAGTACGCATGGTTGAGTAAGTAACATAACCTCAAACTTATATTTGAATGCGGCTTTCAACAATACTTTCTTACAAATAAAAATTTGACAAATCAACTAGCCGCCTCTCAAAATGAGTGTCAGTCGGGATAAATGTGTTTAGAACAAAAAAAATCGTTAAGTGTAAAAATAAAATCGTGAAAGTAATAAAAAAATCAAAAAGAAATTAACTCAAAGTGATGAAATTTTTGTTTGATGAAATTAACCACTAAACGAAATGAAAAATAGGCACAAAACAAATTAGGGACTTGACAATTTTTTTGACCCGTGCCAGCAAAGCATCAAGCCAGAATTTTTTATATTTGTTGGTCGTTTTCTTAGTACCAGCACCATGACGCTATGCCGAAATAATTTTTCTTATAACGGGTATGCTGTGTTCCAATAAAGGCTTTTTGTTAACAGTTTATATTGAAGTTAGTCAGTCCCTGGTTTGACTACTTTTAAATAACAATAGGTTTATTACCAAAATCCACAGTCCTTATAATTTGATTATTTTTGATTTCATCATTTGATGAATTTAGTCCAAAGGTTTTTTAAAAATGAATGTTTTATTCGAAATACTTCAATTATTCGTTTTACTTATGTAACCGATTTAATTTTGTAATTTCACTTCCTTTAAATGTTTCACTTAGTTTTATGTAGTCAAGAAATACTCTCGCTGCCAAGCTAACAAGTACTTTTTGATTTTCATTTAGGTATTTCAACTTATCCTGAAGAGGTGTTTTCCTCAAAAATATAATAAATCACTGAGAACTGAAAAATAACCATTCTGGCTTCCTACTTGATATTGTTACGCCACTTCCCCCAATGTACCACTACTGAATGCGTTAATCAGTAAACAGATTCTTCAATTATATTGTTGAATATCATGCCCGAAAGAAAATAACACCGGCTGCCACTGGTAGCCATAAACCAGGCGTGACGTGGCTAAGAGCGCGCGAGTGTACGATGATTCCCTGCCACTCGAGAAGCAGCGATAATAATGTTACCGACTTCGACACACACACACACCCCTTGATCAGTTGCATGTGCCATAAATAATTATGTAATATGTAAACTTTTCCTAGATTTGATTTCGTACTGTGGATTTTTTTATTAATTTTATTGATAGTGTCTTGGAGTATTTTAAGAAAGTTTCAGAAGTAACTTGTTAGTCTTCGAATACACTGTTGTTGAATACACTATTGTTGTTTTCTTTTACGAGAAAAATGAGTTTAATCTTCCTCTTTGAAGATGATCACTTGGTGATCGCAACACGTGTCGACGTGTTGAAAATAACGATTTGGTGTTGGGAAAAAACTCCAGTAATATTCATTACTACACCAACGGTTCCAAACAGGGCATCACAAATACATGTGTGGAGTTGACGTATCTTCTGAGTTCTAAAATATTGGTTTCTACCTTTTTGAGACTACACAAAAACTGATGATGTGTTTTTTTCGGAGACAAACGTCGGGAAAACCTTGTATTGTAATACAATAGCTGAATTTGTCATTACTGTGGCTACAAAAATAGATGAAAAAAAAATTAAAGTAGGTCCGTATTGAAAAAAAGTGTATTATAAAATCTAATGAACTAAACATCGCATTCAAAATTGCTTTATATCAGATTGTAACAAATATGAAACAGTATTGAAAGTACCTTTTTTTAATAACATTCGAAATGGATGCGGTAGATCCAAAAAAACAGAATCGCCCCAGCTCTGCACGCGTGCAATCGCGGATAATAATGAAGTGCTATAGGGCGAAGCACGGCGCTATTTATAGGCATGCGTCGCTGGCCCCTAGCCGGTATCGCCGCAACCACTATGTCTCTGCATTTTTAATCTGTAATATCTTTGAAAATATTCATTTAAATTACATGCTGTAAAAGGTCATATTGATCTATATCAAATGCACAATGTATTTAAGGTACTTTGGATAGGATTAATGATGTATTGCTTAAAATCGCGTCGTAAGTAAGACATTATTTTTCGAGGATAAAAAATGGTTATTGTAGGTTATCCCTAAGAGATAGCTATATTTAGATTTTAAGGTGTACGATACTGTAGTACATTTTTTGATCTATCTCGTAGGGTCAAGCCAGCATTTACAATGTAAGCGCAAAAGTGTTAATTTATGATATCACATTAGATACCTCTAAAATTATCAGTCTTGCTCTACTATATTATGCATGTTATATACATATAAACCTTCCTCTTGAATCACTCTAGCTATTATAAAAATCCGTTGCGTAGTTTTTAATCATACATAGGGACAGACAGCGGGAAACGACTTTGTTTTATACTATGTAGTGATATGGATATAATATACTTGTTTGTTTATCATATATTTATTCGAAATGATTTCAGGTAGCTTTTTGATAAGTGAATATTTTTTCCAGGCTCTCACAACTGTGTGGAAATGCTGTATGATGAGCAGTGGGAGTAGCCAAATATGGCGACGTAGAAGTGGAATAGCATGGATCCGCGCAGGACTAGTGATATTCATACTAGTTTTCATATGGCTCCAACTAAATTTTCTGAGCTTTGGCGGGTCTTCCCCCCAATACTCAGAAGTGAACGATAGCAATGCCGCCATTTTGAGTATGGTACCTGCTGTACTGCACAAATTTCTCTCACCAAAAGCCAACAATTTTTCTCTCAACGGAGGAAATGGAAGTTACATTAATTTTGTATATGCCAGTATGCCTAATATATCCGAAATGAAACGAAACATAGCACAATACAATCTGCAACAAGTTGTTTACAACGAAAACATTTTTGAACCACTTCAGAATGACTCGGTCGTTATTGTTGTACAGGTACTCACATTTTTATCTATTCCGAAATTAATTAGCTTCTAAGGATGGCGTTTCCATATATTCCTCTTTCACTTTACATTGCACTAGTAAAGCAAGGATCATCTATTGAGCTCTATCAAAAAATAGGTGAAAATGTTTTTTTTTAACAAACTCCATGATAATAATCAATATTCTAGACGCTTTGTTTGAAAGTAGTCAAAATTCTAGACAGAATCTTTCCTGATGTTAAGAATTTAATTTCAAACAATCGACACGGTTTCTTTAGCAAAGATCAACAATAACTAAGTTAATGTGCTTCACACAATCAGTAAGTAATGCACTTAATGATAACTTACAAGTAGATACAGTCTACACAGATTTTTCGAAGGCGTTTGACGTGTTGGATCATAACATTGTTATCAATAAACTTCACCAATATGGATTCGACTCTCAACCCTCATACTTAACTAAACGTGAATGTTTCCTTTATTTTGTTTTTTTTCAATTGTGATTTGAAAAATTTTCAGTGTCATATTAGTTGTTAAACCAATTTTGTTTTTTATTTTAGAGGTATTCCTTTTCCGAGTTATTGAAGTATAAACAATGCCCTATATCTAAAAAAATTTTTTAAATGTATGTAAACAATTAGACTCTATCATGAACCACCTACTTCTTCTAAGTATGTTTACAAACCCTGTTAAATCTGTGTGCTGTTCCAGGTTGTTATACAATAAACCACAATAAATCCATTGCCAAACATTCACGTCATTTTCATTTTTGAATACTGTCAGAAAAATCTTTCTTGGATCACCACTATTGTTACACTGGCTAAATTTCTTATTTATTTTTTTTCTTACACCATTTCCATGTATCTTTCGAAATTGCGCAATCTCGCAACTGATCTGGAATGCGAACTATTTCATTGCATTTCAAACATGAATTGGAGTCACTGATTCCATGTCTCACAGTTTTTGATCCCTCCGCATATTTCGTTTATTGCTTTGTATGCAACGGATAAGAGATGAACTTAAGTATATAAATATGTGTATAAATTCAAAATTATTTTGAAGGCTGACATCACAAGTTTTTTTAGTTGATTTTTGAAACTGCACAAATTGAGAGAGCCTTAAAGGTCTCGAGGGAGTTTGTCAAAATCTTTCAGTCCCCATCAATGATTGCATATAACTTTCAGTTTTGGTTCTAGACAAATGAAATTCATAATTGGTCTTTGTAGCTTACCATATTTGAGCGATGTATTGTCAATGGTGAATAAATATTATTATTATTATCACATAAAGTTTTATGAGCGTTTCTTTGTCACAACCCCAGTTTATATTTGCAAGAACTACTACAGTGTTTAGTGCTCTCTTGCATTCAATAGCAAGGTCTGTGATGTGCAAATATGAAAATATTTCCAAGTTGCACTATTCAATTGAAACCTTGCGATATCCAAAATTCCCTAGAAATATAAATATCCTGAACATTGTTGAGTTTATTTGTTTTCCCCTTAGGGCCTTATTGAAAAAATGCAACAACGCCCTCTACCCTGATGTGTATGGGCACTACAGGGAAGCAAAGTTTACCCAAACGAAGCACCACTGGTGGTGGAAAACGAATCGAGTTTTCAATCAACTCGAAATTACGAGAAATCACACTGGCCTAGTTGTTCTCTTGGAAGAAGATCATTATGTTGCAGAAGATTTCATTCATATGTTGAAATTAATGGAGAGAAATTACAAAGAAACTTGCAAGCATTGCAACGTTTTGTCGTTGGGAACATACATGAAGACTTATAATTACTATGCTGATTCCAAAAAGGTATGTAAAGAACTATTTTGGACGAATTGCTGAAACACTGTGTTATGTATGTTTTGTGTAACACAGCTCAGAACAGGAAAATACTACAAAATGAAATCAACAAAGAAAGTAGTGTCTGTCAACGAATTTTGTGTATCGATGGGAAAAGTTTTTCAAATTTTTATATGAAAAATATGTAGTTCACTTGAACTATTTCCACATAAAGTATATGCCGATGATTTATAATATTTCACTTCTACTATCATTCAAAGTAACATAAGAATAATAATGTATGATTAAATTTAAATAAAATTTTTGCTCTGAATGGACAGAAAGATTAAAAATAATCCATGTGTATGATATATCTGTTTTGGTGTGATATTCTCCTTTTCCCACACATGATTGAGCGATTGAATTATTAATAAAATTTGATAAAAATCATGTATTTTTCAATTATTAATAATTATGAATAACACCAGTGTGTTATTTACCTAACCGCGATCCAGTTCGAATATTTCACAACGAAGCCAGACTGTGGAATGTTGTAAATCAATCCACTACAGTTGAAGGAAAATCTCACCAGACGAGCGTCGTGTTCAGTGTTTCCAGGTCTCCTGTTTTGGTAGTAGATCTCTTGTTTTGGCTCTCGCCCCACTGTTCTACTGTTTTAGAGTTTAAATCTATTGATGATTCAGTTTACTTTCTATAATAAATAATAATGACTGTAAATAATGGAAATTACCATGTATGTGGTATGTTTATTAAAAATATTCACTTCTGTTTTTTGTATCAGTCTACTGTTTTTCTAATAAGAAATCTTTTACTAAGCATGAAAATGAGTTGGCAACACTGGCCGTTTTAGTATGACCCAACTTGGTACTTCACACATTATAAAAAAGCTAACACAACATTTATAAATTCTAAGGTGGTTCAAAATTCGCTGGGTTGGCTAGTAATATCGTATAAATGATAGTAGTTTATTATAGTTACGTTTGGTTACCCTGTTTTCAAATGGCACTCTTCTTACAAAACTTATTCACTAGAGCTTTGCGATAAAGGACAGAACATTGATTTCAGGAAGAATTGAACCAAAATACTAGAACAGTTGCTTAATTTCATTCATGTCAGAAACTGACATAGAACAATTCAATCATTCAAGATATGAAGGTCAAACATGTTATATTATTTATACTCTCGATGAGTAAGTAGAACTGAGTTTACATGTTGCACCATTTTGTGTCCACACCTAAATATTAACATTTTCGTATATTTCATAATATCAAATTTAATCATATTAATGTTGTGGATTCAACTCTTGATTGATGTATATTTATTACTAACAGATTTTCAATTGAATTCATTTGTTATGAAATAATCTATTTTACATTTATTAATGATTTCTAACTTGGTGCTGAGTCTTCATTTTCTTCCCATTGTGACCCAAAACAAATACCTCCATTTAACATCATTTCAAAATGGCCTGTCACTTGTCATAATAGTGATATGGAACGAAAATCATATGACAGTTTCAATACATACCTAATAAAGATAGTGTTTGATGCTCCACAGGTTGAAATATCTCCTTGGATTAGTAGTAAGCACAATATGGGGATGGCCTTCAACCGAACGACTTGGATGCAGATTGTGGAATGTGCGTCATACTTTTGTAAATATGACGACTACAATTGGGACTGGTCTTTACAGCACGTGTCTCAAAATTGTCTGAAACAGAAACTCCATGCTATGGTTGCACGAGCTCCTAGAGTCTTCCACATTGGCGAATGGTAGATAATTATTTGTATTTATAATTCTTTTCTTTTTGAACAACACAAGATAGCACTGTTTTGACTAGCTGTAGGTCTAACAACCATGAATGCATTGCTGTACTCAAATGTCCTTTAAGGAAAGCCTGAGGAAGAAAAGGTGATTACATCTTCCTTTACGAAACGGTAAAAGATTCAGTCCCATAGATGGCGATGGCGTCTTCGTAATGGGAGATGTCAATGCCTTTTGTTTATACTTTTTAGATTGATTTTTCTTTGTTTCAGTGGGGTGCACCATAAAAAAAATAACTGCAAGGCAACATCAGTGATTTCCAAAGTTCAACAAGTGCTGAAATCAGCCAAAAGACATTTATATCCTGACAATTTAATTTTAACATACTCAACTGTGTTAAAAAAAACGAAACTTCTTAAGGGGAATGGGGGATGGGGAGATCGAAGAGATCATAAGTTATGTATAGGTATGACTATTGGTTAGATATTTTATTTTTGTTATTCGCCTGAAATGTAATAGTTTTGTTGTATTATTATTTATGTTCCTATTTATTTGTATCGCTTTTTATATATTCTCGAATCTGTTATATATTCTCGAATCTGTTATATATTCTCGAATCTGTTATATTTTTTGTTGATTATTTTCAATTGTGATTTGAAAAATTTTCAGTGTCATATTAGTTGTTAAACCAATTTTGTTTTTTATTTTAGAGGTATTCCTTTTCCGAGTTATTGATTGAAATAAACATTTTGAAATTTCAAGTAGGAATTATTTCGAATTCTAATCGCTTTAGATGCTGCTATGTTAATGCAGGTTCAATCCCTACTGTGAGACTTGATGAGTGACTTAATGATAAAGTCTAAGAGAGTGAAAAAAATATGTTTTTCCGTTAACCAGCTGTCACTCCCCTACGAACGGCAACCCTCAAAAGCTTAAAATTAAAGGGGACTTGCCTTTTAACGTACGATTCCTATCATGTTGAAAGACAATGTGTCCTGTGTTGCTCAAATTTTAATCCTTGTGATCAGATTGATCCATTCTACTGAGGAATCCCGTTAATCCACTTTCCTATGAAAATATTTTACGGCTTGACTTCCGTGAGAGTTCATGGGTAATAAACTTTGAAAGATTCAACTATTTATCTTTGTTTGACCAGCAAAAGTTTAAACGTTATGTGTTCACGTCAGGAGGGTCCGAAACCCAGAGAAAAAAAAATACAATTTAACTGCACGTCGTCTTGATTTCAAACAAGTTGGAGCCTGGCTCGCTTACCCTTTTGACTGATAATACAATTTAAGTGGAAGGTCATCTTTGTTTCATTCAGGATTGGAGTCCAGCTCCCCTACCCTTTTGGCAGATTTTTGATCTCAAGAAGGACCAATGGGTTCATAACTGAGAGGATGGCAGTATGAGGTACTCAGACATCAGTGCCGCCATTCACGGGTAATACAATTTAAGTGGAAGGTCATCTTCGTTTCATTCAGGCTTGGAGTCTAGCTCCCTTACCCTTTTGGCTGATTTTTGATCTCGAGAAGGACCAATGGGTTCATAACTAAGGGGATGGCGGTATGAAGTCCTTAGACATCAGTGCCGCCCTTCACGGGATACCCCTACCTGGCTGGGGGTGGGATGGATGAAAAAGTTATTCGTCCATTAACGGGGTACGTGAGGGCCTCATTCAACAGAGTGTCGGGGCCTTTTATATCGGGAGGGGTCGTCTACAGCATAATCTGTGGCTTCCCTAACTAAAATGCAGAAATAAATTTATTATAGGGATTATTTAAATAATTCGGGAGGGTCATAGAGTGAGTGACATCTAGGTTCAATAATTCAAACCACAACCTCTAGGAAAATGATTACTATTTAAGGAATCATACAAAACATTCTAATATTTTTTACAAAAATATGAAAGTCAGCTAATTATATCGACAGCGTCCAGTACTGCGCTGATTATAATGTTGAAGCGTTATTGAATCGACTAGACGGTATATTATATGTCGAATGTTATCTCATATTTTAAAAAATGAATTGAATAAATACTCGACCCATTTGAGAGAGCAATATTTTTTCTGCTGATTGTGTACAGCTTTCTCGAAGATCCAGAACTGGAAAAAAATTATATTCAGAAGCCGTAAATATATCAGCAATTTTTATGTTCGTTCACTAGCTCCCGCAAAGATTATTTTATTCTTTCTATGTATCTGTGTCCGATATTATCTTCTAAAATAGCATAGTCGGAGAGACTGAGGAAAGTAGTTGGTCTCTCAAAAAATTTCCAAAAGTTCATTCAGTTGTACAAAAAAATTCTCGTAGGTATCAAGTTCTCCACAACTAAATATTAAAGCTCATTATCTCAGATTGTAGAAACCAAGTTGACCGGTTTTACAATTACAAACAGACATACATAGCATTTATTCACAAAATTCTTCGAATTTTGTGAGAAAAGAGCGAACACTTTTCTCCGTCAAATCTTCTACTTCACATAAATATCACAAGATTGATCATGAACACTGCTTCGCCTTCAACTCAGATATAGTATTAGTTTCCAATTAATGGATTACTTCTGTCAACAATACTTTCACAACACGTATTTTGAGGAAATGTTATTGATTCAACAATTTCTTTGATTTCCTAGAGTTTCGCGCTGCCATCTTGCGGCAATGGTCTCTTCGTTGCGTGTTCAAAAAAATCAACAATCAGCATCATCAGGTTCAAAACTAGTTGCACCAATCCACAAAACACCATAGTTATTTCTATGGTGTTAAACATGCAAAGTCGTCATTTCATTCCACCATTCTTATATACTTCAGCTGCACTCCAGTTAACGAGCAGACAGTGCTTCTTACGTCGATGTCTTGCAGGCAACATGATGTTAAAAGCCCTGTCCGCCTATTGGCAGGTATTTTGAAACCTTATTTCAAGGTGTGTTAAGTTTAGTGGAATACTATGTTAATAACTACCCGCTCGATCTGGCGACTCTGGCGTCAACTGGAATGTAGCTTCTGTGTTTACACATTCTATGTAATTTCAGTAGTGTCAAAGAAAGAAATGTCATTGTCATTGATGTAACCAAACTCCAAACTTCGTGGAAGTCAAGAATTGTTTTGATGGATTTATCGGGATTTTTGAATTAATTTATTTCATTACTTCAATACAAAATTATAAATATGTTAGCATCACCTTCAAACAACACAAATAACAACAATTCTTACTCCAATGACAGAGGGTCTAGCTTTGAGGCAGAATATGCTGTTGACCCTGCATCTGGAGGGTTTTTTCATGCTGATTTCAAAAAGTAATGAGACAAAGGTGAAAATGAAAATGTCTAATTTTCTCATATTTTTTCAGACATGATGATCTGAAAGAAATGTTGGATTCCAGTAAAGACAGTTTAAAATTGGAAGCAATGAAAAGAATTATTGGGGTGTAACATTGGTTTTTAGTTTCTTGGCACATTTACTGATTTTTACTTAATTTTAGATGGTTGCAAAAGGTCGAGATGCTTCCGTATTATTTCCAGCTGTTGTGAAAAATGTGGTATCAAAGAATATTGAAATTAAAAAGTTGGTGTACGTGTACCTAGAGAGATATGCAGAGGAACAACAAGACCTAGCTTTGTTATCTATTTCAACTTTTCAGAGAGCATTAAAAGTAAGGTTTGTTTATGCTGGACTGAATTTAGATAACAACTTTCATTCATAATTGAAATGAAAAGTATCAATTGAAACAAAGAATCTGAAAATTATAGGAACTTACAGTGTGGTGAACAAATACTCTCTCTTCATTGAAAATGAAAATGCTCATTTTCAGTATTTTCCGATGAAAAAAGCTACAGTGTGATGTAGGACAGTTGAGAAAACATTTTTAAACAAAAACCAACTGTTTTCAAGTAACTACCAGTTGAAATTTTATTCAAAACTCATTTCAGTTCACTACAATAAATGTCTAAAATGTTTACCATTCACTTACTGATGAAAATGAAAAGTCTTTACAAATTAATTTCATACATTTTGGAATGTTTGAGGTGATTTTGTAAGTTATACTATCGGACTCTTCATGGAATGAATAGGATATAGTACTACAATTCCATAATAATAGGCACTTAATTCTCACAAATATTATTGCATTGAAATGAAAACGTTGTCAAGATTGCGATTCTATATATTTAATCATCTTTTTTCCTCATCTGTTTAGTATAATTTCTGTACGCCACTGCAAGAGACAGATTAAGGCACAAAAAACACTACTCAAAAATATGATGTAATGATCAGTTGTTTGGTGTCATCATTTGTCGAATGCATCGGCAGAAATATTTTCTTTAATGTTGTTTCAGGAACCAAATCAGTTGATAAGAGCTGGAGCATTAAGAGTCTTGTCAAGCATTAGAGTTAAAATGATATCGCCAATAGTTATGTTAGCTATCCGAGATGCTTCATCTGATATGTCTCCATATGTTCGAAAAACAGCAGCTCATGCTATACCTAAATTAAATTCGTAAGTAATAAATAATAAGTTGATTCATCAATAGTATCTCATACATTTTCTTCCACAGATTGGACCAAGAACTGAAACCTGAATTGGTAACTATAATTCAAAAATTATTAGCTGATAAGACAGTACTTGTGATAGGATCTGCTGTAATGGCATTTACAGAGGTTTGTCCAGAACGGGTGGATTTAATCCATCAAGTCTTCAGAAAACTGTGTGCCTTGCTTGTTGATGTTGATGAATGGGGACAAGTTACAATTGTAAACATGCTGACCCGATATGCTAGAAGTCAGTTTGCTGATCCAAATCTTCATGTGAGTATATCACCATATTCATTTTGTTTATGTATTTATAGATTTTGTAAATAGTATATGGCATTAAGATGAAACACATAATGATCCATCACACATTTCTGGATATTAAGTACATTGCATAGTTTGTTATTATTGAAAGAGTTCATACCCTTCAAAATGAGAGCCTATAAACAAAAAGATGATTAGACTTGACTGTTCTTAACAGACAAGGTGATGAATCCCCTCTTAAAAAGAAGCCATCTATGGGATCTACTGAAAACACATTCCTCCAGGCTTTCAGCTTTCGCTGAAAGCCTGGAGGAATGTGTTTTCTGTAGACTGTTTCTACCTGTCAGACTGTTTCTACCTGTCAAAAACTCATCAGTAGTGCTGTGCTGTACCACGAATTCATTATTCAGTGTTTTTGCGCTCTGCTTTTGACTAGTCTCTTTATGGTGGAAGCTGCAAAAAAAACAAAGGATTATCTTGTTCGGTGGTGAAGAATGTGGGGTACATTATACTTTGATGAATAAACTGATACTTCCACTGAGGGTAAGACCCTGTGTGTGGGTAGAGAACAATTAAAAAACAGAACAATTATGACAATTGAGAACCATAGGGGTCAAAATATTTAGATTCGGATATGAAATAGAATAAAATGAACATTTAAAATTCACAATTTTTGTATAAATAAAAGCACTACAATAAATCAGTAAATGATACTTCTTCCGAATGTTTTATGTTGATTTGTACTAATATTTGTATGCTTGTTTATGTTTTCCGAGTTTGGCCCTAATATACCCAAATTACTTGTTTCAGTGGCAATTAATTGATTGAGTTTTAGGTGAGTCTTACAGATTTGTGTAACGAGAAACGTTTAGTACTTGGACGTTTTTCAATTTTCCTAAATTTCCCATATTTATTTAGGACTTTCGTTTATCTATGTAATCTTTCCATCCCAAATTACAATTTTAACTTAATAATATTATATTAAGCAACACTGATGGTTTAAATTTGATTGTGAATTGTTTATATTTATTTGAATCAAGTAAAAGTGATATTCAGCCAAATCTTCACCATTTCACTAGAGGAATTAACTATTATTGCATTGACAAAAATAAACACTCATTAATGACTACTCAGATAAACAATGTATTTGTCTCTAATTTACAACATCGACACAAGGGGGAGTATAGCTTATTTTGAATTCCCTGTAAACTGCCGTTGATAACCTCGTTTGTCATTGATATTCATAGATTGATTCTTCTGCTGATCCCATAGATGGCGTCCTATTAACGGGGAGATATCATCTCTTCTTCTTAAGGTTCATACCGTCAGTGGTCATTTCTAGCTAGTGATTTCCATGTGTATATAAAGTGAGAGTAATAAGTATAAATGAGGAAAATACAAGAACACACTTTTGGCTCTATATCTTTCAAATTCACGAGTATCAAAAAGAAGCAATCATAAAAAGTTTTTTCATTTTTCAAGATTTGTTTGCTCTGACATTTTGTAGGGCAATTCAAATAACTCCAATGGAGAATTCTATGACTCAGGATCAGATACATCAGAAAAACACATCCCTAGTTTAGATCCAGACCATCGTTTGCTCCTGCGTTCTACCAGACCTTTACTGCAATCAAGGAATGCTGCAGTTGTGATGTCAGTGGCCCAACTATATCACCATGCATCACCTAAAAGTGAAAGTATGCTAGCTGCCAAGTCATTAGTTCGGTTCTTACGCTCCCATGTCGAAGTGCAGAGTGTTATTCTGAACGCAATCGCTTCAATTAGTATGAAAAACAAGGCGATGTTTGAGCCGTACCTCAAGAGTTTTTTTGTTAGAACTTCTGACCCAACGAATATAAAGTTGCTGAAGTTGGAAATTTTGACGAATCTCACAACAGATACAAATGTTTCTGTTATATTGAGAGAATTGCAGACATATATTTCTAATAGTGACAAACATTTTGTTGCTGCTACTATCCAAGCTATTGGAAGGTGTGCTTGTTCCATTTCAGAAGTCACTGATTCCTGCCTTAGTGGATTAGTTTCATTATTGTCAAACAGAGATGGTAAGTTTTTTGAATATCATATTAGTTTTTTCATACTAAGTTTGCAAATGAAAATGCACTGTTGACGTGTTCAAAAATTAAAGGTTGGTTCTAACATATTAAAATGAATTGCTGCTTTTCGAAAATCTCTCTCATCTCATTAGAGAGAAAGCTATAACGTGGCATGTGAAACACCTGAAAAAAAGGAAGAAATATCAGAAAACAGTAGCGTGATCCTACCTTGATTCCTGATCTTGCTTTTTTTTCTCCTTAATTCGAAAAGATTAAGCACTAAGATAAAGGGGTTTTTGTTGGATAGGACAATGCTTCGATTTTTTTAATTGTTCAGGGAAGAAGTGAATTGTTCCAACTAAATAATACAGTTTAGTGTATGATTTTCACTATAAAGGGGTTTACAAAAACTGCGATACGTGTTTCGCTATACAATAGCTTTCTCAAGCGTACACTCTTTTTTTATGGGAGAGGACATTTGTACTTTGCCTGCAACTATTGTTTCAAAGAAATTTCGAGAACTCCGTATAGACTTCAGAATCATTTCTTGAAATATTATAAATGTCCCGGTATATCGAAATGCATAGGTCAAAAATTCGAGCTTGTTTCTGGGTATTTCATCAATATATTTTCAACATTATTTTTTCAGGGAATTCATTCTTCTTCAGCAACAACTGTCCTAAGGAATTGAATGAATAGATCACTTTTAATAAACATTTTGTATTTCTGTCCTCGTTCTATTTTTTAAATTTGTACCGTAGCATGTCAAAGTCAAAAATGGATTCTGAAGACACTAGAGCTTTTTGAAAACTCAATTCTTCTGACGAGTGCCTAATTCATGCAATGTTTTAGAGGCTGTAGTTGCAGAAAGTGTTGTCGTTATCAAAAGACTTCTGCAGACTCAGGCAGCTGATCCTAAAGAAATCATAACTCATATGGCAAGATTGCTCGATAGTATTACAGTAGCTCAAGCCAGAGCTGCTATTTTGTGGCTGTTGGGCGAACACTCTCAAAAGGTTCCACAAGTGGCCCCTGATGTGTTAAGGAAAATGGCCAAGACTTTTCCTGATGAGGTAAACGTTTTCTGAAAGTCAAATCCTTTTTTGCATGTTAAGATAGCCTGGTTCTATCAGGTCTCTAATATCAATTCTAATGTTTTTTAATTTTCAGGATGATATTGTCAAATTGCAAGTTATGAATCTAGCTATGAAATTGTATATAACGAATCCTGACCAAACGTTCTTACTGTGCCAATATGTTTGTAATTTGGCGAAATATGATCAAAACTATGATATCAGAGATAAAGCTAGACTATTCAAGCATTTTATACCTGCCCAGGAAGGAAAAATCAAATCTCAAGGGAGAAGAATATTCTTGGCCAGCAAACCTGCGCCTTTGTTGCAAATTCAAGTGACAGGTGAGAAGTGTTATAGTTATTACATTCTCGATTGTGTTTTTTGTGTCAAAAACCTAATAAAACTGTAATGGTAAAATAACTTCTATGGCAAAATCTTTCCATATGCATGTGGATTTTCGATTAAAAAGTGTTTTGCACAGAAGCTTCCTCATTTGAACTGATTCAACTGATTTTCTGATTGATTCGGCCGTTACTTGATGAAGATCACCTGATTCAACTGAGTGTGAAAATTGTTTCATTATCATTGCTAGTGTTATTAATTTTCATCATGTAACTGATGAATTTTTCGAGTTTTCTGTAAGAAAGTTTAGATACAAGGAATTGGAAATTAACAAGTTTTCTTTAAATTTATTTCACTCCCCTGTCTGAATTTTTGTTTCCGAATGGAGCGATATTCGAGAGACTGATTTTGAAACTGATTATTCAGAAACCTAGAATAAGTGTAGGTATTTGCTCATTTGATTTCTAGAAAATGATGTACTACAGCTTGGATCTTTATCGCATTACGTCAAACAAAGAGCTAATGGTTACGAAGATTTGCCATCATTTCCAACTAATCCACCACCTGGCGATGTAAGGAATGTGGAACCTCTACCTGAAGAAGAGAATGCCAAACCACACAAAAATACTGTAACTAATTGAACACCAATGAATGATGAGAAATTAATATTTTCTTTTACAGAATAAAGAGGGGAAGGAAGGTTTTCTTTGGGCTTCAGAAGCTAGTTCTGCTGTTAATAGCAGCAGTGATGAAGAATCGAGTAGTAGCTCTTCTAGTGAAAGTAGTAGTGGCTCTGAGTCCAGTGAGGAGGAATCTTCTGAGGAAGTGGAAGAAGAAACTGATAGGTAAGATAATGTACAATGTTTCATGTGACATTGCACGCAAGAAAAGAAATCATAATTTGATACATCTGCTTGCTGCAGATAATTCATATTTAATGAAAATAAATCAAGCTTTTAAAGTTATCAGTTGGTGGTCCGAAGTTGAAAAAATGTTACTTGATAATTACTGAAGTACACAGTACAAACAAATTGTTTCAGTTTATTTTCAACTAATTCAATCCTTAGTATTCTCATAATATCTTCCGAAAATACTTTTTGGTCCTGTTTTTATATCTGTTGAATTTGCCATGAAGTTTTTGATTCTTACATTGTGTACATTGGTGTAAAATTTATGTCTGGGTAAATGGCTAATGGAATGAATAATTTTTCCGTTGGACGGCTTCGTATGAAATAATAAGTTTTTTTATTCCTGAATTCTGTAATATAAGCAGTGGATACGTTTTATATGTATTTCTCAACTTTTCCGAAACTGCGACCCCTTTACAAGTTGATACATTCTAGCAACCCCCCAAGGTTTCTATATACAGTCCAGACCTGAATTTATCGGAACAAGAAGTCAAAAAATGAAAAGAAAAACCAACAGTTTGCTTTGCAATTTGTTGAATCTACTGATGTTTGTACCCAGTTTGTGGTATATCTTGGAGCAGATGAAAATATCACAAAAATCATCATTTTAATGGAAAGGTTTCAAACCCATGGTTTCCCAGTATGTTTAGTACTTGTGCAGGATTAAGGTGTTAAATAAATACCATCATTAGGTCAAGGAAAAGTATAAGTACCTTATCAGCCTTTTCTGTTATGTTAGTTAACAACTCGGTGGTAATATGTCTGAATCCAAAATGATACGTGTACTTTTGTATTAATGTCATTAATTTTTAATCGTTTTCACAGACATATAGGCAGTTGTATGCCAATGAACTAGAGACATCAAACTGAGATGTCTGCTTCCACATATCTAATGGAGATTTTGTTAATTGTAGGAATATTTTTTTGGTCAAAATTGAGAGGCATGCCCAAGTTCAAAACACCTTACCCTCACGACTTTGTAGGTACGTGTGGCAAATACTTGACGGAAAAACAACAACTAACCCACCTAATGCCGCGCAGAAAGCTGAAGCAAAATCATCAGGCACCTGTGCAACGTCCTCCAGTCAGAAGATTTGTCGCAAGTAACTTCCTACATGTGAAAAGCTGAAATCAATTTCATTTCGTCGGAACGACGATATACTGGTTTCGGAGTACTAACTCCTCGTCGTTACCGTAAGAATCACTTCAGATGAAATGAACCGTCTGAATATCCCGAACTAACAAAATTTTTCCTACTTGTTATAAGCTCTAGCTGCATTTGATTCAGTAGGATGTTGACTGCGCCACCTGCAGACAAAGTCCGGAAACAACTCCGCAAACACACTCTGAGTTGGGAGTCAGAATAAAAAACATATTTCGGAGAGGTGCATATGACATGCCCAAGTTCAGGTGAAAAACACCTCAACCCTTGCTTCTCATGTGAACCTACGACTTTGTAGGTTTTTCACCTGAACTCGGAAATGTGGTTATGGAGTTGTTTCCGGACTTTGTCTGCAGGTGGCGCAGTGGACATGCTACTGAATTAACTGCAGATAGAGCTCATGACTAGTTGGAATTAATTTCGTTTGTTCGGGATTAGGGAAGCCACAGATTATGCTGTAGACGACCCCTCCCGATATAGAAGGCCCCGACACTCTGTCGAATGAGGCCCTCATGTCCCCCGTTAACGGATGAATAACTTTTTCATCCATCCCGCCCCAGCCAGGTAGGGGTATCCCGTGAAGGGCGGCACTGATGTCTAAGGACTTCATGCCGTCATCAATCAGTCATGAACCCATTGGTCCCTCTCAAGACCAACAATCAGCCAAAAGGGTAGGGGAGCTGGTCTCCAAACCTGGATAAAATCAAGATGGATCTCGTCGTTTGTTCGGGATACTCAGGCGGTTCACTACATTTGAAATGACATTCCCGGTACTGAGCAAGTACTCCGAAACCGGTCTATTGGTGGTCGTCCCGACTAAATGAAATTAATTTCTGCTTTTCATATATAGGAAGTTACTTGCGACGAATATTTCAAATGGAGGACGTTGCCACAGGTGGGTCAGTTGTTTTTCTTTTGGGTATCTGCCACAAGTACCTACAAAGTCGTAAGTTCAGATGAGAGGCAAGGGTGAGGTGTTTTTTACCTGAACTTGGACATATATATATATTTTGTTTTTCTTATAGAAAAACCAGTGCAAGGTCCTCCTTAGAAGAAACTGAATCTTTGAGTGAAGATTTATCTTCTGAAGAAGAAACGCCTGTCGAAGATATTGCTACATATAATCCTAAAACTGCAGAAACAATTTCCACCAGTGCCCAAATAATAACAACCAAAAAGTCAAACTTAGATCTTTTATTGGATTTGGAAGACGTTGGCAATGCTGTACCTGTCTTGACCCCATCTTTGGGAGGATTCTTCACTCCAGGTACTCCCCGTGATATGCCTTCCGTTATTCAGTCTGTTCAACCTCTTTTCACTAATACAAAGCCAATTGAGTTGTTGAATCGAATAAATGGAAGAGGTTTGGCTGCAACTTATAGATTCACTAGGAGTCCTCATCTGTATTCGCCTAGCATGACTAATATTAATATTGTGTTTTCAAATAATTCTAATGAAGATATAAATGATATACGCATTGGAAAAAAGGTAAAATTTATTTTACAGAGTAGACTTGAAGTTACTAAGACGTTTTTATTTTTAAGAATTTAGCAAATGGGATGAATATGCACGAGTTTGCCTGTATTTCAAAATTGCCTCCAAACTGCTCTCTTCCAGCTACTTTAGGTATTGACTTCAATGATACGACGCAACCTGCAAATTTTGAAATTGTGTCTTCCTTAGGTGAGTTTTCCGAATATATGTCATGTGGTGTTCAATCCAGTTAATTTTTCTCTGAAGAGACATCTGTTTATGAATGAATACTAATGCAAATACTTCATGAATTTTAATGTCATACTGTTCGTTCATCAACATTTTTTCAAACCATATAAGATAAATAATTTATGATATATTTTCTAACCCTCCCCATGTATATATATATTTACTATGATGGAGACATTGCATTTGTATTAATTGAATTTATTGCAATGATTGTTCATTTTTCATTTTTATCTATAAATATGAGAAATATTCTAGTTTGTTTACCTCAGTAGGTCAGTGTTCTGTAACACTTAATTTCTTTTTTTTTTGAGGTTATATAAAGTTATTTGTTGGTAGTGCCTTAAAACTAAATTGTTATTTTGAGATTAAACTTTTTTTATACTAGCATATATGTTATAACTCACTAGAGGTCAGCCATGGGCATATAACATATATAAAAAACAAATATTGCCAAATCAAATTATAATATTCTTTCTTGATAAATATTTTCTATGGTCTTCAGATTGAGACCTCCATAAAAAATAAGAAAAGAAGACATCTTTGTAAGGAGATTTCTATCATTCTTGATGACATCCATTGTTTTTGATATAGACAAATGTGGTGAAAAGGATAATCCAGGTTATTCTTGGCCTATATGTCTCTTATTCCCACCACTTGTCAAAATTATTGAAAAAGAAACTGAAAAAAAAACTATGGAATTTTTAACGCATATTACAACACTGAGATCACAATAGTGTGGTTTCTAGAATTCTGTTTGTACGTTACTAATGATGCATCTGCGCCTTCATGTAGATAATTTACAAGGGGATTAATTCCAAGGAAGCTGTTGCAGCAGTTTTTTGTGCGTTTTAGAAACCTTCGATTCTGACAACTATGAAACACTGCTGCAAAAGCTTCAACGCTAAGATTTCCTAGAAATGGTTCAAACCTGATAACAGATGGATACACAGATATCACGTGTTGTGTGCCGCAGGACTATGTGTTAGATCCGATTTATTCTCTACTCTTTGTTAATTATCTCACTGTGCTACCATTTTCAGCAAATTTTGCATCGTTGTCATGGCATCATAAAGATAAAAGCACCTACATGAAATGATAAATACAGACATAGACCTAAGGACTGGTGTGACTCTAACTTACTCCTCTTCAACACTAAAAATGTAATAAGCAAGAGGTGTTGCTGTTTCATTCACCTTGGATTTTTATGTTAATATCACACTGGACACTTTGAAATTCAATGAATGTAAAAGCATCGAGATTCCCGTTTTTTTCATGGGTTGGTTCTTTTGGACTTTTTTTCTCTGGAGTTTATTAGACATTAATTGATAATTGCATATCCCTAAATTATTATTGAATTCAAAAGAATTCATGTAACACTGTATCGAATGTGGAATTTTTCAGGAAATTTTAACGTTTCCATCAAACCAAGTGTGGGAGAACTTCTCAGACCAGTCCAAATGGACAAAAATCTATTCATTGAACATCAGTCGAGACTGCGTGGTATGACTGAACATTCCAGTGCTGTGTCTCAAAATATTTCCAATATTGTTGAGAAAATGCAAGAAATTACCAATTTAGGACCATGTGATAATTCCGATCCTGACTACTTTAGGTATGTATTTCCAAATTCTTAAAAAATTGGTACTTTTTTGAACGTCAATAGTTATCGAAGCACCACATTATATAAAAAGGGTTTGTTGGAATATTCTAGATTGAAGAAAAACAATGTGTCAGTCAGTTGTCAGACAAGTTGATGAGTGAGACTTGACTTGACTCTAGAGTTTATGATGAAGCTGGATCCTTAATTTTTTTGTTAAACCTTATCAGATGTATTTTTTCTCTATTTTATAATTAGAATTTCCCAATATTTTTGAACCTGTTGAACAAAATGTTCTGCATGTAAAGTATACCCTATTTCATATTTGTATAGGAATTCCTATTCACTAAATTAATGTTGTTTCTATTATTTCAGGTTTGCTGGCCAAACCATGACTTCTGCCAGTTTGATACTAGTTACTTTTCAAAATGGCAATGCCCCAGTGTTGACAGTAAGTTGTGAAAATATGGTTTTTGGATCGGTCCTGCTCAGTGAATTGATTACCAATATTTCTCTTTAGGTACTTGTTGACTATGTTAATGTTACTGATAATTTGTATTCGATTATGAAGTACTTTATTGTGTTGTAATATTGATTTAGAGTTTGTTTTATATTATATCCTTTATATATGAATATTTCTCGTTTTTTTTATATTTAAGGAATGCCAAATTTATCGCTACACTGGTGGTTCAAGTATTGCACTTGAACTTTGGTATTTTTTAGAAGTTTCATCATCGTTTCATATTACGTGGTAGGTATCAAAAGAATCTATATGTAAATTAAACAAAAAACACAAGTCACAAAGAACCCATAATGTACCATACAGAGTTACATAGAAAGTAGATTCTTACCCAAAACAATATTTTTAAACGGACTAAACCTTTTTTTACAACGAATAAAAGAACGAGGCGAAGTTTCTTGTATGTTAAAACCAATTCCATATTTGCAAACCATTTTTGGCAGAAGGACGCGAGTTCAACCATGACTATGACTTTTTGTGGAGGATAGTTTGAAACCCAATCTTTTGGAATGCTGGGAAATTGAAAGATTTAGGAATTCTGTTTGATTTAGTAATCAACTAAAAAGAACATATTATTCAAATTGTTATGTTATATAAAGCACTAATTAGACAGAATTTAGTCAGTATGAACACAAGCCTGAGGAAACTAGTGTATAGCAGAACACGTGGCGGTTTTGTAAACTATTTAGTGAAAATTTCACAAAACGTTTTGGTTTTCTACTTTTCCACAAAAAATTTGGGAAATTTCTCTAGGAAGGAAGACATCAACTTCAAAATGATATCTTTTCCAAAATGTGTAGATTATAAACAAGAGTTTCCTTCAGATATTTTTTAGACGTTTTAATTTGCTTTAATTTTTTGTTTTCTACAACGTGGACAAATCAGAATAAACTAGCACTAGTGCAGACCAATCAGGAATGAGCAGGCTTATGGAAACTCCACTACCACCACCTCCTACTATTATAAATAGAAGTGAATAAGGAGCTCACCTATGGTCATTGAATTATACGAAAGAAAAATTTCTTTCAAAATAAAAAATCCTTTTTAAACATAATCTTAACAGAAGCATTCATCCTTATTTTATCCACAAAGCTACTTAACACATCTCAAAGTAAGATACCTGTTCCGACTGAATTAGGTATAAGTAGTGTGTCCAATTAAATATTTCACACTCTGATCACTTGATTATTTCTGATCATATTCAGACATATTCGAAATTGAATCAATTAGATATGTGTCCCAAGAATCTTTCACATTTGTATTTCCGAATAATACTTCTTTAGACCACGATACAAAAGTTTGAGCAACAAGTCTTCGATTGAGATATTTGCTGAAATTGATGTTTGTTAAATATAGGATAAAAAAAATAAGTTTCGTCTACAAAAAAATAAGACAGAAGTTATTTTCTTTATCTTATATTTAATATGAATTTCTACAAAATATATAGGTCTTCAATCAAACAAGTTGACGTTTGTTACTCAAATTGTGGTTATGGGCATTGCTGAAATCCTATAATTGTTTAAAGAGGTTGAGATCATGAATGTGTCAATGGCAAAATTTCACATTTGGTCTCTCCATTAGGAATGTTGCGAAGGTATCGCAATTTCCAATAATAAAGATAATATGTATTAACGTCTTGAATAAAATAAATGAAACAAAACTATAAACTAATTGATAATGCAAGACATGAATTTAACAATCGAAACCATTTGCTTACTTTTCATATCAACAAATATCCAATTTATTTTATTTCCCTTAAAGCATAAAAACTATAAAACAGTGGAAGGTTAGACAGAGTTTAACAGCAATTAAATGCACTAGACCTGTTTAACTGATTGAAATGAACATACATAAATCGGTGCTTTCATGTCACATTTATTCTAAAATTTGTATTTTGAAACTGTTTTCTTGTTCATATTATCGATTCCTTTTTTGATGTTGTGTGCCGCNTTTATAAAAAAACATAAAAAGTCTGACTTCTAACAAAATAGTAAACGAGGAACTTCCTAAGAAGTTGTACAAACCTTACCTCAGATTTACTAACAAACATATAAAAGTGTATAAAATAATTATAAAAACAATTTAAATATTTTTAAAAACACAGTTACAAAAAATAACGAAATAATAAATCTGCTTTGGTGCTTAGTCAAAGAGCCAATGGACAGAACGGACAAAAACCGAAAAACCAATCGGCTAACAATAAGAATATTAAAAATTGACTATCCCTAGGTGGGCTCGACTCCACCACAGTAGGCACAGCCCGATATATTGCACTAATGGTAACTACATACATGAAATCAACGCCTTGATGATGGCGTTGACCTACTGGTGACGGGCTGCTGATTGCCACATCTATATGCTGATTGAATGCAATCCTGGTCCTCTCACAATGAAAATAGTCTACAAGTAAAAAAGCTCTTGTCAAAACTGTTATGAAAAGTAAAAAATATACAATTTTCAAGATTTCCAATAAATACAGAGCCTATTATATTAAAAATATGAAGTGAACGACACCGGCTCGAAATTATCCGGCCTCGGACAATTCTAAATCTCATAAAATGGATAAAAAGTTATATGAATAGATAAAAATGACAACGGTCTACAGAATATGATACACACGTTTCGGTAATCCACCATATTATCTTCTACTCACCCAAGCAGGGCAGGCAGGCAATATACAAACAGTAGAAAAAGAGTGTAAATGTTTACAAATCATATCATTACTTATTTGTACCATGTCGTAAATGGTTCGCCCAAGCGGTAGAGCATCTCAGCGTATTTACTACAAAGTGGTAGAGTCTCTAGCCCCTGCTTCTCATCGCTTGGCCTATTTACACAATTACCTATGAAACAATGAAATTTTCTTTAATTGCAGTTATTAAAGATAAAATTCTACTCCACCGAGATGTCAAACGGTGCGGCTTCCGACTCGATTATTGCACACATCAAACATTACTAATCACCATTTATAACAGTTTAGTATAAAAATTCAAATTTAAAAAATACAAAGTCTTAAAATAGCCGATACTATATATAATATATACTACTATACATATCCATGCAATTGATTTAATACATAAAGACGTTTAGATATGGGGCGACGGATGTTACATAATCCACATTTCAAACATACTATTCCTTCACTTTGTGGAATTTAATAAGCAATTGACAAATCAGGAGTTAATCCTACAGAGCTGTGAAAATATGATGAGTTCATCTAAACAAATATTCATTTCTTCTTCATTTGAACAAAAGTATCAATCTGAAAATTTGTTCAAAGCTAATAAACATACAATGTTTTTTCTCAAACTTTCTGAAAACCCCGACCGCAACAAGCGTAGACAGCATAAAAAATTAGGGGTTTACTGTTACTACATCAATGATCTTTTGTATTCCATGGTTTTTAAAATACAAAACTTTTCGGAGCATTTGTTGAGAATATTTTTTGTTTTTAATTTTCAAACATATATTTTGCCTTGAAACCCATTATTTGTCTTTAGTCAAAATATAAAAAGTTTACCAAAGGAAATGAATATAGAGGAAATAGATGAACCCTCCACAGAACAATGAAAGAATAATTAATGTTTGAATTGAGGTTATATTTTAGTAGACACCCCATAATTTTTGGTATCACACATGATGAAAAGGATGTAGGAGATGTGGACAACGGTTAGCGGACACTAAGCAGGAAGCAAGTCAAAGATTCAAATAACATGATCCCCAATTTTATGTATTCTTGAAATTAGGAATATTCAAATGAGCAAAAATTTTCCTACGTGAAATCGCCTAACTATTGATTACCTACCTATTCATTAATTTTGAATACATTTTCACATCAACAATATAGAAAACATGTAACATCTTTGGTACCTAAGTATATACAAGATTAAATAGAAAAATAATTTATAATATAAAATCCTAACTTGATTTGTTTAGAAAACAACGTCTTTACTCCTCCTCATTGAATTTTCATCACATCACAGTATGATAGTTAAAGCAATAGTTTCAACATCGTA